CGGAAGGTTTTCCCAAAAGGACACAGGATCGGCCGTAAATTAGGAGGATAAGCCTTCACGATTTTATTCTTCATCAGAATTGTACGTGTTTATATGTGGGCAAATCGTATGGCTCAGTTCAGGTTGTCGCTTGAGAAGAGTGTTACACTTATCCTCGCTGATAGTTGTAGGAAATTCCACTTCATGTAGAAACACATCATCGAGCACATTATCGGGTACAGAAACAAGCGGATTACCCCGCAGTTTCAATTTCGACAGCATTGAGTGTCCATTAAAAGTTCCATTTTTTATGGTGGTTATTTGGTTGTCATTTACAAAAAGCCACCTTAAAAAGTCGGAACCCACTAAAAGCTCAGGGGATAGCTCCGTCAATAAATTACCCGTTAATTTCAGCGCTCCTAGATATTTGAACTTTGAAATAAACCCGGCTTCGATAGTCCTCAGGTTAGATTCGGTCACTGCCAGAGTGTTCAGAGTGTCCGGGATCTCAGATAACATATCTTTGGATAATGTCGAGATGTTTTGTTTTTCAATGTAAACTTCCTTTATATCTCGAATACCCTTGAAGAAATCTCGAGGAAATTCTTGAAGATTGTTGTTCGTGAGATACACATAAAAGACTTGGCAGTCCCTGAAAGGACCTGATGCCTCTTCAATGCTGACATTTTTAAAGCTGAGCGTATTTATCGTCGAGAAATCGCTGTATGCTCTGTTTGTTAATTTCAATGTAGGGAATTTGTGGGAATCATCTTCCTTGAAATACACATTGCTCTGGGTATAGTCAAGCATGCGATTTTGACTGGACACGACCCTTTCACAGAACACCTCCACTACGGCTGATGACTTATAAGGCTTGCAGATTTTTGTGTACCCGTCTCCAGTTGAATTGCACTGTTCAAACATGTAGTTATGGGAACAATATGCCTCAGTCGAAGAAAACACGAAGGCACAAATGAAGCCAACAAAAATCAAGGAGGTTCCCATCTCGAAAGTTTTCTTTAGACTGAATATAAAATGCTGATCAGACTCCAGGTTTATATACCATCGTAGAAGCTGAAAATACCTTAAAATGTGTAGTTGTGTGAACAATCACGGAAACCTGATAAGAATAATGACAAATAACATTTTCATTAGTGCTAGGATTCTTCTTCTATAATTCGAATATCGCCACACGTGTTATTAAGTTCTATGAGGCGGGATTTTGGCTGTTCAAACGTTATGTAAAAACTTTTGATCTCGAAACACCTCACAATATGAAAAATATTTGTCGGTGTTATCTTATCATACGAAAAACAGCTCAAGGATACAATAAAGATAAGAATTACGTAAATTAAAAAACAATACGTGCAAGTGTGCACGAGAGAAAAAGTTTTTTTAACGTAATAAATAATGAGCCATCCAATATTTTTTCTTGCACAAGCAAATGTTCATTTCAATTTCTGGGGAATGATGTCACCGAAAAATACGATCAAGTAAATAATTCCATTTGCTGTAACTCATTTATTGATGATACCAATTATTTTTATACGAATATACATAATTTAACTCAAACATGATCATATCTAGTTTGAGTTCCCAATTTTTTTCAACAATTTTTTTGATGACGTGGATTAGAACATATAAAATTTCAAATTTTATGGAGAAACGAAATTTTTCAATTTCTGTTGCTATGCCCGGAAGGTTTTCCCCAAAGGGCACAGGATCGGCCGTACATTAGGAGGATAAGCCTTTACGTTTCTACTATATATAAAGATGATCTGTGCTTGTAACTTTGCAAGGTGTAGACTTCAGGTTAGTGAGTCCTTCGAAAAGAGTCTTACACCTATCTTCGGTGAAATTTCCAGTCAATTCCACATGTTCCAAATACTCAAGATGTTTGAAAATTCCATCGGGTAGAGAGTGCAACTGATTATTGTTATGTAAATACAAAGAACGCAGATTTAATGTATCAGAAAAAGTTAGAGAACTTATGGTGGTTATTCGATTCGACTGTAATTCAAGCTTCCTCAAGCTATAGAGGCCCCTGAACAGACCAGGGTGTAGCTCTGTCAACAAATTACCCTCTAAATTCAGCCATGTCAATTTATGGAACTTTGAAAAAGTCTCGGCTTCGATTGTCTTCACGTGACATTGTGATAGGCTCAGAAACCACATATTTGTCGGGATCTCAGAGAAGTCATCTTTGGATAATGTCGAGATGTTTTGGCGGCTTAGTAGAGTTTTATTCAGACTTACGATACCTCTGAAGAAATCTCGAGGAAATTTTAAAAGATTGTTGTTTATGAAGACCACTTTGTCGATGCTTTTATTGAAGAAAGGACCCGATGCTCCGTCAACGTTGACATCAAAAAATTTGACCTCACGTAACGTTGGGAAATTGCTGTATGCCCCTTCTGTTAAATTCAACTTCCTGGATTCCTCGGGAAAATCCTCGTAGAAAGTCAGATACACCCCAAGAGATTCGACCCGATTTCCGTCTTTGTCGTGTTTCCGCTCATGGACTTCCACAACGGCTGACGAATTCCAACACTGGCAGTATTCCATGTTCAAGAACATAGTTTCATTACAGTACTCAAAAAATTCATTGTAGTCAGAACTTGTCTCAATCAGAGAAGACATCAAAGCACAAATGAGAACAACAAGAAACGCAGAGGTCTTCATCTTAGAAATTTTTTTACGCTGAATGTAAAGTACTGACCAGACTTAAGGTTTATATACTATCGTACACGCCGAAAACGACTAAAAATATGCAGCTGTGTGAACAATCAAACAAACCTGAGAAGAATAGTGAAGAAGCACATTTTCATTATGGGTAGAGATTTCGGCTGTTTAAATATTATGTAATGGCTTCTAAGATTGAAAACAGCCCACAATGTCCACGATATTTTTACAAAACAATAAAGACGAGAATTAGGTAAATGTTACGAGCTTCAAGGTAATTCTTTTAATTATTGATCAGTTCATCCATCAAGCACCTCAGGTACCTTCTCCGCAGCAGTACTGATGAAATTGACTAGTTAATTTTGGTAATCTTGAACTCAACTATTGGAAAATATTCTGGTCATTCTCCATTTTCTTTGAGTACACAGGAGACTGGCAAACTATGAAAATATCGATCGTCCGTCCAACTCGATCTAGATACATCTCAGATAGAAATATCCGATGTCCGGAAATAGATATGCGTCTCAAAGGGGAAATAAGGGATAGTTATTAATAATTTATTCCTTTCACATTCGAAAAGTATTTTGAGCTTGATGCTGATTCGATTGGAATATTACCCTTGGTCGTATGTCACTGACCACCTACCCACTTGACCACACGACATAATGTACGGCGTGCTAACCTGGTTATTACGAGTTCCTGGCTCTTTCTCTTTTCAACTTCACCAGAGAATGCAGATGACCGTTAAATAAAAAAATAGCTCTTCTAGTGCTTGATGAACACATTGGATATATCATCTGTGCAAATGGGCGGTTACGATTCAAGATGGTTAGGCTATTTGGAGTCAATTATCCGAGACATGGGCTGTGCTGTATTGCACTTTGTTTCGGCATTTATATACCTTTAGAGAAATAATTCACTGGGCTTTAATGCATCGTTTTAGAATTACAACTAATTGTCTGGAGATAACAGACAGCATAATGATATGTTCTATCTCGTTTTTTTATTTCATTTCGTTGACTAGATTCCTTGGTCAGATTGCTCATGTACATAGTGGTGTGCATGTAAGTAACTATTCATTGTTGGATTGGAAATCTATGGCGGGGAGTGTTAGCTCTCCTACTTCCGCGTTTCGACTAAATTGGGGACCACTTTAGAATCTATGCTCAATAACTGTTGTACAATCGGCTTGCTTTAAGAGTCATTTGGTAGGTCAACACGTGTTCCAATGTTTTTCGAACTATTGAGATGAGAAATCACGAGATCACGCCGTAAATCTCGTGGGACTAACATTCATTGTGCCTGTTCGTGATCACGGTGTACTGATCATTATTTGATCTCCAAGTTTTGGTAGTTTTCTTGGGAGAGGGTTTAAAGGGGTGGAGCTAAATATAGGAAATAATACCTGACCATCAGTATTTTTCAAAAAAAAAAATTCAAAAATTCAAATTTAAATTCTTCATTCAGAAAAAAAAATCCTCAAAAGCCTTTATGTTAGTTCAATTATATGAAGAAAATGGAAAGTAATCAGAACAATTAAAATAGCAACGTAATTCACTATTAATCATTTACGTTTATGAGTTTTTTCTCGACATTCATCGAATTGCATTGCGGACAAGAAATCGATAATCGCGGTCGATTTACCAGCGGTGCTGCGCAAGCCCGGTGTTACGTTAGTAGATGCGCATGCTCGGTAGATCTGGCGGGGCGATTTGAATCTGCGATAAGGTATTTTGCTGGTGGACGATCGATCATCGCACCAACACACAGGGGCGTGATCGATGCACCTACATAGACTCATTCGCTGTGATAGGAATGTTCAGTGTGTGTGCTTATAATCCATACCGCACATGCGCATTTACCGTGATATTATATATATACATATGAATGGAATGGATAATAGTACGAGGTGGTGTTGTGGCCATCGTATATTTTCTATTTATCGTCCATTTTTATGACATCCCGGCACCCCATCGACCCTGCAACCGTATTCCAATAAGTTACTGTAATTTATTCTCTCTTATGATGGTGATGTGTATAACGTATAAGGCAAGTATCGATAATGCTCACCCGCGGCGAAATAACACGCTCAGGCGTTACCATTGAATATTCTAGAGGTCACCAATGTTAAGTCAAATAACGAGGAATCTTCAACAAATATTCGAATAATCGATTGCCGCAAACTGAGATTTCACCGTTGTATCATTTTTTTCAAGTCAATTAAATGCTTTGAGAATTCTGTTAAATTTGATATGAGAAGGATTTTTCCCTTGGAAAATCAATGGAACAACTCAAGTCTTATCAATATTAACATGAATTATTCAATGATGTTTACTCACCAGGGTACCCCTCCGGTATCACAATTTCCGGTCCAACCTTAACGTCATGTCGATAGCGATGCATCAGAAGAGTTGCAGTGACTCTGAGCGATCTCTGCTGTTGTTTATAAAGTAATATAGGTCGACCCCCACCACCCTCCACTCGAACAACCCTCGGCAACGAGAATCTATCGATGAATTCCCCAAGTGGTAAAAAACCACCGGAGGAACCAGAAGCTTCGGCAGTAGCTTCTCGTGAACTTGGCAGAGAGTCATCTCCGGTTCCAGTGACTTCACCACTAGAAAGTGTTGAGAATTCCCCGGTCGATGACATCCCGACTGCTCTCGAGATACGATTTACATACACTTATAATCACTTTATTACGGAATTCCAATCAATCTCACCGCAGCATCGATAACATTTGTTCATCGATCCTCACATGCATATCACTGTTGTAATATTATGAGAGAATGACGCAGGCCTGGCCTCAGAGGCACCTCATGAGAGCCTGAAACAGAAATATTAAAATCATCAGAATATTTCACTCATTCGAAATTCATTGAGGCCAATTAATTCATCGATGGTCATAAATATCTCGTAATCATGTCTCTTTTGTTGCTCATAATGTGCATCCAATTTATCACCCAATTGGATTGTTCCGGAAGAATTATCCAAAAATATTAGTACGTCATGTGTTTTTGCTCTAAATTGTCTCAAAGACATTTCACAAACCTGTGTGTATTTATCCGCGGATTTATGGTACACAAGGAAGGCAAAACGACTGCTTCTCCATTATGTTAAAGTCCTAGTGAATTCACCGGAGGGATTAAGTGAATGATAGTCAAAAGAATTGCTGGATAAATCTTGCAAATAAGAAACATTTCCTTACAGAGATACATCCAGATGTATAAATGACTTTTTAATATAAATATCATGAAATAAATGCACTGTCGCCACAGATAGCAGCAATTATGCTTGAGGCATTTTGACGCTGGTAATGATCAAGATGAATTTATGGTGATGATTAGCATGTGGCATACCGCAATGTCGCCACTGGTCTTCAACTGCTGCATCGCGGTATGTCCTTATACTGCACTCATAATACTGTACATTTATTTTCTTTTACAATATTCATAAGTATAAAAGCTACGGATAAACTGTTATATCATGTTTTTTTTTGCTTTTTTATTCGCTTAATCGCGTCTCGTGAAGATACCACTCCGTCAGCAATGGAGATATGCCAGAAACAAACTTTGCATAATTGTGCATCTAGCGTATCCTGAGGTTTTCATATTTTCTTTTTGTTGAATGAAGTCCCTTTACAACTACACTCATCTCATCATGAATCATTCATTTCGTTTGTATGATGTCACTAATAAACATCTGCAATGGAAATTTCTTTCATTCCAACGATGAGCACTTCATAATCAGTCATGAATTATGATTTATGGTATGACATTTATACATTGGAGTTAGTTATTCAATTGTAAAAAAATAATCTAATCATCTGATCATCATTTTTTAATCTAGTGATCAAAAATGAAAATAATGAAATGAGAAATGGAATAAAAATTATAGATATATTCAAAATCCATCCAAAACAGATGGTGTAACTTTTATTCCAGAGCACAGAAAATAATAATAGTAGCTCATGAAGAAGAGGAATTCCCATGAGGATGGAGTTTATTGAATGTAATGTCGGCGATTTATTCCCAAATTTAGGAGACATTGGAGACATGTACAGCAGAAAGATCTAATGCTCTTGTTCCACTAGTAGGAAAATCCAGGGAGTAATAATTTTAATCGTGAATGGAATGCACAGTCTTTCCTATATCCTTTCTTCTCCCAGGTATGTACAGCGACTAAATTATTCAGAAGATCCAGAAGTTGGAGAGAGCACGAGAGATGTAAAGAAATAGAGATGGAAGAGCTAAAACTGGCGGTTCACTGAAATGACTGACTTGCTGGTGGTGAGGTACAGCACGAGTAGCGTTCCTATTATATTAATACAGCATACGAATGGCCGGGCATTAATATTCTCAACATAATATAACATAATGTCGGTCAAAGGATTATTAAAAAATTATACTTTTAAATGAATCATATAATTGCACTCTGTACGGCCAGTCTGTCTCTCTTTATCTTTCACTTTTCTTGATCGACCCACGGAGAATAATTAATTGTTCTCATTTGACTGTAAATTAGAATTGAAAATTATGATTCAGTGAAATGAAAGCGAAAGCGGCGGGTCGTGACACCTCGATTATTAACTGCAATCGATATGTAATCGATCTGTGAGTAGATCTGGAGATCTCTGGTGTTATCTCCCCAATCGGTGAAATACTCTTCGGCTCGTCGAATTATTAAAGTAATCATCTGATTTTTAAATTCAATGCGGATCTGCATGACCATTATTGATACTATTCCAATCGTGACGTGCAATTGGCCGTGACTAATCGTTGGCTTACCGGACGTACTCTGGTCATACAATGGTAAAAGTACATTCCAAAAGTATGAATGTAAACATTTCATAATAAATGTCCTACAATTATCTGATGATGATCGATTATTGGAGGAAATATTTGAATCCCTCTCTGGCGGCCATAACGGTTTCTTATATAATAATCATAATTAATATTCTGTCCTGAGGGGCATTAATGTATTCGAATGAAAAATCCGGCGTAATGGATCTAACTGGAAAATCTAAACTCGTATTCACTCGTCAATACATAAATATGAACAATTCATAACAATAGCTTTATCAGAGATACGATGACAACGGATTTTCAACCGGTTCTTATCCGATTCCCAGAGAGAACAGTTGGATGAGTGTTCGCAATATCAACAAGGATTTAGTTACATGAATTGGATTTTTAATTCAAGATTCTCCGGGTGCAGATTAATACTATTTAATGAAAAGAAATCCCAAGTAATCGATCTTACATGCTGGGAATTTAAACTCCTCTCCACTTGTGGTAGAATCAACATGCCGTGGAATTTTCTCGATGTGGATCCGGTTCCTCAGGGTCTCAAGGGTGTGAAAATAAGAACAAAAAGCCCTAAGAATAATGAAAATAAAAAAAAAATAGAAAAGAAACAGAAAAACTCAAAAAACAAGAAGCAAATTCCCACTCATGTCCACCGCTGCAACAACTAAATGCGTTAACGGTGTTTTGGCTATTGAAAATGCCGCCACCTCGGCTGTCAGTTCCAGGACACTAACATCCTCGGATGCACAAATGAGAGGACGCGATGTCCTATTCACCGATGTGTGAAAGGCGATTGACAAACCGCAAAACTAACGCCGACAGAGGTGCCGACTATCAACGGCAACGAGATCGACCCGGCACTACGGAGGAGATCGGTACAACTAACGCTCACCAAGGAGTCAGGATCCAAGACTTACTCCAACCTATCCCCCACCCATACGCTCGAATAAACTACATCACACTGTCTCCTTATTCAACGGAACCTGAAGGCAATTCTTTGACTCCGTTCGTATCTCCTAAACGCGTCAAAATTTCAATTTCAAAAATACAATTTAATTTATCATCTAGTGGCGTTTTTTTCAGTAATTAATTCATGAACACACGCACCCGATATGATATAATTATTAATCCTATTAATTATGATGTATGCTTATTATGATTATTTATTAATTACAATTCCAGCAAGTGGTTCGAGGGCTGTCCTAGTGTTGTAGGCGGATAAATTAAGTGAATTCCGATGTTCGTTAAAAAAGTTGAGAAAAGTTGAGTATGGAATGAGTGACGAGACCTTGCTGGTATGCCATATGCCTCAGCATGTATCAACGACATATGGCGTACTACTTCTTCGAAGATCAGCTAGATGAACAGATGAATCGAACGGTTTTATGCCATTTCCCTTGGAATACCGCTTCACCGGACTCAACATCAGAAACAATCGCCATTCATCACAGCGTTATAAGAACAATAAGTTCTTATAAAACAATAAAAATATCGTAGAAATAACTATAATTTCGGTGGAATAATGTTTAAAGAGTTGGAAGGTAACTCTTTGGGATTCCAGAAATTGCAGGTTGTGGGGAAAGTGCAAGTGTAAGTGCATTTGTAACTGCTGGGTGAAAATCGTTGATTTTATGATAAAATCGTTTCTAGATTTCTCAGTAAAGTGATAACGAAAAGTCAGCGTGTGACAAATTGAACAGAAAGGTAATAATGCATGGAAAAAATGGTAATTGCAGTCAGTGCAATTGTACATTCGTGCAAGACAGTAGCAGAGCTGGTTGAGATAGTGGTTAAATTACTGCTGGAAGTATTTATGACTCCTTGTTGATTCGCATTCGTTAAAGACGATATATGGAACACTATTTAAATGGCTCGATGCAAAGAAGTACACGGGGATAAATATAGATAGTAAAAATGGTCATGGCCATGAAAGAGAATGCTCTGGCAACATAGTTGAAGTTTTCAAAAGGCCCCGTATAGTTATCGGGGATCATACTCTGCGCTGTTGGACATAGTAATAATTACAAAAAAAAACCGGTAAAAAAAATTGAAATCGCAATAGTTTTTAGAAATTTTCAAAAAATTTCTAGAAAATTTTTCCGAAATTTTCTGAAAATTTGGAAAAAATATTCCAGTATATTCTCAAGCAAAACAAACGCACAGCACAACCTTCAATCTCGTCAGGTTTTCAACCGATAAAAACTGTTCTCCAGTCACGAACACTATTCCTAATTTGGTAATTCCTTTTTTCTCCCTGCACTTTCACATTTCTTGTATTTCCAGATAGCCTCCTAACATCTCCCTCCATAATTGGAACGACAAAAAAAAAATACCTGGAAATATTAATCTGAGTTATTCACCACGAGACACCAACACAATTAGTCCACACGGTGTCCATCATTGACCCAAAGCTGGACAATGTCGTAATCCATTATTAAATAGCACGAGCAGAGTTCCATGGACAGGAGATTAGTGAAGTGTCTCAAGGACACGCTCATTTAAATTGTTTACACGTGAAGAAAGAAAAAAAAAGTGCCTTGATTATCATAAAGTATCGTGAACGGATGTCTCAAGGTGGAGGATTAAAACGGCTGAAAGAAAACGTGAGTATCCAGTGAGTGGTGATTTTCGATGAAGACGCCAGCATATGATCACACCAAGTCGTCTCCATGTGGAATAACTACCAGTTTCCTGGAAAAACCCAGGGAGTTACTAAAAACTGGATTCAAGTATTCTGGTACGCATATACCTATAGCAAACATACCGGCCAATGACTCTGTCAGTCATAGAACACGTACGATGCTAAAACCAGTTGTTAATGGTTCTAAACCCGAGGTGGACACGATACCGGTGTCGATATACCTCAGTATACCATCAGTGAATTATAGTTCAGGCGAATTTTAAAATAATTCACCATTGGCAGTCAGAATGAATGAATCGTGCTGTTATATATATAAATAACTGAGAACATGGAGCGTGGGTGAATACGTGGCAGGGTGAGAAAAACCGCCCAGAAAATAAGATGAGGCTGGGGATTTTCCTCTGGTGCAATAGTCCCTCCATTTATTTATTATGTCACGACTTGTATTGGCATGAGGATTACGGGCTTAAGGGCATTTTATACCACCACCTTGGTATTATCATTACATAAATAATTGTAATGAGGGACCTGTACACGGAAGCACACTGTACACACCAGTGAACATGGATGGCCATGGCTATCGAGTAGGATGAACGTGGTTCACCTTCCGAAGGTCAATCGAACCTTTGCACTTATATCTTCAACCTTCTGCAACCTTCAGCTCTGAAGAGAACTCTTATTCGTTGCTCCACCCTAGTCTCAAATAAATACATTGTAACAAATACATTGAGTTCAGTTTAAAAAATGAAATAAATATTTGAGTTTATTCGAGTGTCGCCAATTATTGATTCGACACTTAGCTACCGATATACACCACTGATCAACATTGCACTCTGGCAATGGGTGCCAATCACTGATAAAAATTGTGTTCGAAGGGATAGTGAAGGCGCGTCGGGCACGCGGAAACTCTCGCCGATCTATTATAAAGGTGTCAACGGCCGTTGCGATTAACGATCCGACACGGCGTGACAATGCAATTTGCCGATCGTCGATCGTAACTGGGGCCCAACCTGGCAAGAGGGTCCCATCGACTCGCTATTTTCATGACAATAAATTCCTAGCTCGTACAATGCACCTCAGGGATCTTTTACTGGCATTCTATTTTTTGCTTCAACCAGACTTTTCCGGGAAAATCCGTCTTTACGGCAACCAATGAAAATACACCGCTTTATTCTAATCCAATGGATCACAATTTTCCTAATCGTGTCGCCATTTTCGTACGTTTTAAACGATTTTTAACCGGTCGGTTATCATTTTAGCTCATTCCCCAATCCGAGAGTCCAAAAACATGTCTGTACTACCCCACATTCCCTCATCCTCTAGACCGGCGAGTTAAAAAGATTCGAGTTAAATTTCCTAGTAAAAATGACAGAAGATCCAGGATGCATCTATCATGAAGAACATTTGATTTATGTGGTAGAAGGCCCTCAGCGTCCTTCGTATGATTAAGTCATATTGGATATCTTCCTATTTTCTCTCTCCCTGACTTTCATAAATTTCAAAAGGACAATCACCTCGAGCTAAATCAATTACACCGCTGTCTGAGTTTTACTTTAGTGTATCAGAAGAAGGGCAAATAGCTATTGATAATTTAATTACAGAACTGCTGATGAATGCGCCATTTGCCTTCAAGCGTGATAAAATTTAGTACGTAAATGGTGTAAATCGATCGATATATCGTGATGACGATGTATGGGACTCACACAAGAGCATCTTTATGCACGCGAAAGTCATTCGAAAGGGGGGAAGGTGATGAAGGTGGGGCAGGTGGAGAAGATGGGGAGGGTGGGGAAGGTGGGGCAGGTGGGGCAGGTGGGGAAGGTGGAGAAGGTGGAGAAGGTGGAGAAGGTGGAGAAGGTGGAGAAGGTGGAGAAGGAGGATATAGCCCTGAGAGATGTTTTAACTTGCGAAATCATGAATTCACGAGCTCTGGCAAAATGCGGACTCAGCGACTACGGCGAATTTTCTTTTATTTTTAAAATATTTATGCCGTAAGGCCAGGGCCCCAAGATTGGGTCTTCGGTTCGGTTGGATTCTGTACGGCGTGCCCTGTGTTGCATCGTAAATGCCGCCATGCATGGTCAACGTGGTCGGATGCATCATTGATTGCGCAAACCGGCAGTACATGGCCTGGAGAAATTTCACGTTTTAATATTTACGAACATAGGACCAGCCACGAATAAAGCCTTTCGGAATTTCTTGATTCACAGACGATAGCGTTAATCCATATTACATGTTAAATCGAGGAGGACTTTTTTATTTGGAGTTTTACAGTAACCATGGGCACACAAATATTTCATTAAAATTACGTAATTATGCCGTAATTCCCGAGTGAATTGTCCGGTTAAAAAAGAATTCGTTTTTCCACCAGGGGCTTTTGCAGTAGATGGGAGGAAATTTGGGACTTTCAAGTCCCAAATTTCCACTGGAAAAAAAAAATATCTTTGCGAAAGATGCAGAATAATTAATGAATAAAGTGAAATTTTTTCAAATTCTAGAATTCAAGTGTTAATTATTGATATTAAAATTTTTCCTCACTTTCTTCCAGAAGTTATTGTAGATTTAAGATTCATGTTGCTCTCCCTCCATTATTCAAACAGTTTTTACTGATGAAGAGATTCATGGAGTTACCGATTATTTACCTTGAGCTCATTTCAATGTAAAATCCATTCCGGCGAAAGTTTCAGACTTGCGCTACCGTTTATGGAATATAAAATGAGACTCAATGTTTGCTAGTGAAGAGGAGATCATCGGGTCGGGGGTAAACTCAAGTTAAGTAACCAGGATAAAAAAGATACTTGGTAACATCATCACCAAAAAGTGCTATTACCATAATGCTCGTCTTAACAACGCTTCTTTCCGTACGTTCTCCTCCATTTTGCCTCCTCTCTCCATTCTCCGTTGGCTACAAGAAATTCCTCTCATGTCACATTGGGTACCAAGGGATGGGCAGCTCCAGGGTAAATTTTAACGTCGTCATAAAGTGCCCATCAATATCCAACAAGAGAAGCTAGCTCATTCCAAAACAGCACACCGCATATTAACTTATGCGAACACAACGACAAACTTCATTATCAGCCATCTACAGATGAATTATGCGCGATTGGAGTACAGTAATCAAATTTTATTACATTTTTTATTTTCATTTTTTTAACATCAACAATTGAGCAATTCCAAGACGATAACGAATCCCAATTAAGGATCATCCCCTAGAGATGATCATTCCACATTATCAGTCAACCCCTGGGGGACTATTTATTAGGTTTGATTTTCCCTCTGAGTGGCAACTCGATTTTTCTCGATTCACTGGAGAGAAAAATACCGGAAAAATTACAGAATTTTCACGTATTCATGGGATGACCTTGGTTTTCGGGGAAAAATACTGTAAGTTCCGTAAAAATTTTTGTAGCGAGCAGGAATTTTTACGAAATCTTTCAGGACAATCTTACGGTACCTCCAGTAATTTTTTCCGAAAAGCAAGGTCACCCCACGAATACGTGAAACTTCCGTAATTTTTCCGGTATTTTTCTCTTCGTGTATATATCAAATTTCTCGGGCTTATATAAAATTTCTTTATTCATACGGGAAAATTGATTATGAAGGATAGAATTGCGCGAGCGTTTATGAGGATTCAGCGTAATTTTAAAGTCTGCTTGCGCGCCCGGTGTATTCCAATAACTCAGTACAGTACAGAGCAAGTCACTGTATAACGGGTTTCGGGGCTGTTATCCGACACTAACGAACCTCTCTTCGTTCAAATCGGCTGTTACTGGTTTTAACATCCCGAGTGGTCCTCCCGTTCTCTCTCATTCGCATTTGCAATCATATCAAATAATAATTGCGAAAGTTCGAGCGATAAACTCCAGATGAACTACTCATTTTTCTTTAATGGGTGATGTAGGATGGAATTGGCGAGAAAAAATAAACAGTAAAACGGGTTGGGCCGTGGGAAAACCAAAAGTATCAATTCCTTATTGATTTTTCAATGAATAATTTTTTTTTTATTCTTTTTTGAGGAATCATTTAATTTTTTTCTATTCTGGTAATTATCCATTTTTAGATCGACATTTCAGGCACTGAAAAACCGTAAAAATGGTGAAAATTCGAGTGAAAATTTTCATGAATTTCTCATCTATTGAAAATTCAAACTTTCATTGGAAAATGAATTATTACTCATGAAAAACCAATTTTCTAGGATTTAATTAGGAAATTTGAGAAAATTTTTACCAGTGCATGCCACGTAAATCTGTTAACAAGAAAATTCTCATTTCCATGTAAATATTATTACGCATTTCCTTGTACCAAGTAAACCAGCTCGGCAGAAGTAAATAAATTCCGCGGAAGAATTTCCATTCTGAGAGTAGACCATATTTAGTTATCCCGATGGAAAAAAATGTCAAACTTGAACTCCTTCAAAGCTTTCATTCGGAAGCAAAACGAGTTGTGCACCAACAGAATATCCCATGATGAATGAATTTATCCCTGGAAGCGGTAGTGAGCGTTACGTCAGTGAGGAGAAGTTTTTAAAAAAAAGTGAGAGGAAAAAAGTGAAAGTATGGGTTGACGAGGAGGGGTAGAAGGTATTTGTGGGCTCTGGTTGTCGCTCCAAGCCGAATGGTAATCCAGTTGAGATATATTTTATCGACAAGAGTATTTCCACCCGCAACCAGCACATGTACAGTTGTCAACCCCCTTACATTTCCGCTCTCTTGTCCAAATAAACCCGACATGTCAGCATACAAAAGCGAGAAATAGCGGTTGTTTGTTCACCAGGTCTGTGAGATGACACAGGAGATTTCACGGTCAATGGCGTCGAAGTGACGAACCAAGCTATTACCATGGGAGGAGGCTCTTAAATCTTCCTAGGCATGCGTCTAAATCAATCAGCATAATTAGCAGGCGTCTCTGTACCGCTATACAATGATTAGATTACCATTCACTCTTGTTGACTCAGCCATTGTAAAAATAGTAAACACATCTGACCTACTGATCTAGCTATTTCGACCATTCATGCCTTTTTTGTCAATCTTGTATCTCTTCATTAGGCACAACCTTCAGTTAAATGAAAAATAAAGTGGACCAAAACCTTCGTTAGAGGACAATTTTTTAACTTAAACCACATTAAGGCGGTCACGCCTCTACGATGACAACCAGATAATCTCACGAGTTCGAAATATACATCGTTTCACGGATAAATCGATTAAAATGACACTGAGGTAATTTATTTGAATGGCAGTAGGAAACAAGAGTTTCTACAATAGTCTACTAAATAACAAGATAATTAAGCTCATTTGTAGTATCACTGTTGATTGTCTTAGAATCTGCGGCCTACTGGTCGAACCTGTCCTTCATTCTCCTCGGGATGAGATGCGATGTAATCGAGTGCTCTCTGAATTGCTGGTGGAATTGGGGGTGGAGTTGGTGCAACTGGGAGATGAGATCCTTGAAATTCAGCACCATTAGCATCAGCGACCCAACTGATGGAAACTGGAGTACCATCAGGTGCAGTCCACTGAGCAGATCCTTGCACCACGTTGTTACCCTCCTCAGGTGTTTGTCCAGGCTGATGGTATCCCTGCTCTTGCACACTGATTCCATTGGCTGTCTCATAAGCATTGCGGAATGTACCGTCAAAACCAACGTCAAGGTCCTGAGATAGAATTGGAACAGGATCGTTTGGAAGTAGTCCAGCACTTGCCACTGCGACTATCGCAAAGAATGATACCATGTATCCGTTCATGTTTAGTGATGATACTGATACTTGCTCAGATACTCAACTGATGATCTCTGGAGGATGCAACTGTCTTTTTATAGTACCGCAGAACTAATCGGGTAGGAGTAGCATTAGCATTTTGGCTAAATGTCATAAAATATCACGCAGTTAGCGGATGAAAGTGTACGCCTCTTTCAAAAGATCACACGGAGAAAGGTTACTCAATCCTGAAATTAGTCGAGTCGACGGCTTCAGGTGACTGGATGTTACCATGAATCAACTAATAATTATAATTGGATTCGTGATCACTCGGTAAATATTAGTTATTTTTTTTTTTCCTCTTCGAAGTAATTTGTTATTGATTATGAACTTTACGGTCTTCTTCTCCTATCCGTTGACTCCTTCATGTGGATATCTCTACGTCTGTGTGTTACGTTGTGTGAAAAACCTGTCCTTGGTCGAATTCTCTGCCTTTAAGGCATTTTAAGATTTAATAAATTCCAATGAATCATTTTAATTCCATCCCAACATTTCAGAATGAAGAAGATGAAAAGTGGGGAGACGGTGAACTCTTGTTTGATTTTCAAATCAAGTCATGTCATCAATTTCATAATATTAATTACACCGGAAAAAATAAATATGGAATTTTGATGAGTTGGAGAATAGCAGAACAGCAGAATAGCAGTTTGCCGAGTTGCAAAATCAATGAGAAATGATTAGAGCAAGAACGTGAAATATCAAACGCCATATCCAAATCTTATCCTCGATGATGAATGATTCCGAAGGCGTCACTGCAAAATTTTTGATGCATCCTAACGGCATAACGTACCTCAGAGCAGGTTAACTGTTATTCCACGTTCTATTCTTTTCATGCATTAACCGTAACACCAGTTGACAAGCCTATCAAATTGCTTGCCTATTTGAGATTCTCATTACATGCATTACAATGCGTGATGCAGCGATATGCATAGTCTAATGCATACACGTAAAATGAATAGACGATTGTACTAGAGGAGAGATAATTCACACAGGCAAAGGAACAATCTTCTCCCTGGGTGTGACTTAATAAATGTCCCCGGATTATCACCCAGGTTAGTCAATCCACAATTATTACGACCATCCCACGTAACCCAAAATGCATTCATTGGCATATAAATTGACGGGGAAAAAAAACCAGCCACACCGTATTTATGAGTGATTTTGCAATTATGTTAACCAACCAACTCCAGTGAACTTTAACTGCTGGATTCCAGTCCAAGTATTGCATCCACCTAGTGCGTTTGTCGGTGAAAGATGGGCTGAGGTGAGAATAAGAGACTTCCAGATCTCTACCAATCCCACAATCAGCAGTGAGACAAGGATTTTCCATGTAGCTACTTGAATTGCAGCCTTGGTAAAATTGAAATGTGTAGAGAAGAGTGATAATCACTGGCACTCCTATACATCAGTTCTACATCAGTCTCATCAAGTACTTCTCACTAGATTATGTGATTCCACAAGACCTACATATACGCACCCGTGAGATCCTAATGGAGTGGAGTGGCTTTTGAATAGCTTGAATACGGTGGCTTGAAATACGTCTCTTATATAAGAAGGATTTTCATCCCAGTGGCTTGTGGCCTTCTTGCAAAGAAGCACGTGCACATCAGCCAAACGAGTGGTCTAGCCAGTCGAGCAAATTAACCACTTCTCGTTCTCCTGTACGACGGCAAGACGTCTTCATTCTATCTCGGTACCGAGACGTCTATCCCTGGCAAATCCCTCACGACTCCCACTAAAGATTTTCCAACTTCTCTCATACCGTTTCAATATATATATATATATTTTTTTTTGTTTCCCTCTGTATATCTCTTCCGCACCGATCAACCGATAATTACTTATCGAAGTAACATGTATACACGCCCCAGAGAGGTCTAGCCTCGTAAAGCTACATGCCTATCAACGGTCGTCTCACCACAGCCACACTTAACGGTCATCCTGCCATTTTTCTCAGCTTCATCCTATTTTTTCATCAGCTATTTCTTTTTCTTATTCAACATGCACAACCAAACCCCCGGAGGACACCTAGTCCCGAGTTATTGCGATGCTCATGCAAAATTGTAACCTTCAATGAATGATGATCAGCCCGTTATAAGGCAACTCGAGGTACATTTTTCAATGCTGTATATTCCCACGATACTTCCAATCGATCGATTTACACGTGATGTTTAAGATTATGGCATCTAGCAGATCAAGCCCATCAAACTCCTGGTCTTTCCACGGTTTATCAGCATCAGAGTGCAACCGTGAGACTATTATGCAAATAATAACTCGTATATCCAGTCAACATTGACTTTCAATTTGCCTAGACAAATCTGCATTTTCAGTCCAACTTATTGTTTTATTTTCTCAGCAATTGAATCGCGCAGCTGTGGGCATATTTCAATTGACCCATAATCACAGGATTTGAAAAATCCAATTCATCGATACCGAGTGATGGAGAAATAAAAGGATGACGGGGTATCACTGGAAACTCCTGTAAATCATGACCTCAGTCTCTCCCATAATTTTCAATGATACTGGAAATATTTTTCTCAGATTGTCTATTGAAGATTCCATAGATCGATGGTGAAAGAAAATGCTCAGAGATCACTTCACCCGCGTCCAATTACGATCGGCATGGCTACGACCTTCGTTGCAATTTATCTTCTTTATACATACGGTATTATATGATACATTGGAAAATCCCTTAGCACATGTGCATGTACCCGTTGAACCTCTCTTACATGGATTGCCGGTGCATCGAGGATAACGCGAAGGAGCACAACTAGACTTGGGAGTACCCACCGACAATTCGTCGGCTCAGCCATGCATATCAAACCCACCACCTCACGTCTCCCCCCGTTAAAATGCACAAAGTAGAAATTTCTACGTATCCACAGGCAACTTGTTGGAATAGCCACAGCAAGATACACCAGAGCATTTCCTATCTCATTCCACCAATTCAACCTTCAAACATACTCTGAATGTTAATCGTTGTTACCAATTAATGCCAAATTGATTGACTTTTTGAAATAGATTTTAGCCGTTCCCGTTGAATGGGCGATGAGACAAGCCTTCTGGTCATTTTCCATGCTGCCTTAACAGGATAGTGGACAGCCAACAGCACCCGTGCCCTACGAGCAAATTCGTAGAGCCCCTTGATGCCAACCCTAATGCCAAATTGATAATCACTGTTTACCTATTGAAAGACTTATTTACCAGGATGACTCGTTGAGAGTATTACGGTACAACTTCTGTTGAACAACCGCTTCTGTCCTTGTCCGGTAAATGGAACAGAGATGGCTTCCACCGTAAAATCGTTAAGGTCAACCAACTGGCTCTGGCCCAGGATTGTTAGTAACGAGGACTTTGGTGACATGATGCCACTTGCCTCGATTACGAAACGCTCATTACCCAGTCTAAGTGGAGCCCAATCTTCTCGCTGGTTGGAATAACTGCTCTAACATTTTCTGAGCATTATATGAAGGATTTCGTAAAACTGCGCTGCACTCGATACTCATGAGGGGGAAATAAAAAATGTATTAGATACATTGAGTTGCTGTTTACCACTCGCGTTGGTCGAGGGGACGGAGATCGGTGATTCATCCAGAAAATAAAGATAAAGATTTTTTTTTTAAATTATCTGACGCCCACAAGTTTTATTTTAATAGGTTTTAATAGGCTCAAGGGAAGAAGGACGAAGGTAGCGGACATTTTCCGTCCCCGAAAAAAATGCCACGTTACAAATGGACCCCCGTGTTATTTTTTACACCAAGTTTTATTGTTGTGTCGTACTGGAGCTTGAATTTGTCCATTAACTTTCCATCTGAGGAGATACCCAATAGCTCTAGTCATAGTGATTGATCCGGCATTATTGATGCTGTGTATAAATTGAGTGTTGCAATAATCTCCTATGACTCGGGTTTTGCAATGTCGTCGGGACGTAGGAACGATTACAATGAAACTAAAATGCATAAAAGTCTCGACGTTGCAATTTAGGATTATGTGCATACAAAGTAATGGAGAAAGAACTGTCGACGAGATTTCGTAATTCGGTGAATTTTCAAAGAATTATGGGAAAATTTTGAAACAACTTCACGCGGAAGCCGATAAAATCCCTGACAACAATGAATCGTGAAAATGATAATTGTTTCTTCAGCACTACCTTCCCCACCGCTTGATACACCTTTCTCATGATTTCGTAACGGTGATACTCATTGTCAGATGGGTGAAACGACACCATTGGGGTATGTACGCAGAAGTCAGAGAGTAAGTTACCGAGGCACTCGTACACAGTCATTCAGCCGTGGGATTAACTTTCGTCCTCACCAAGAAGACGCTCTCTGTTTCTCTTCTTTTATTTTCAAATGCCTGTCACCTACTCATTCCTTTCCAACTTGGCTGCCTGGCTCCAATGAATTGTAGATGACAATGAATGCTGCAGTAGAATGGGAAGCGAAGCATTGAAGTTGGGAGCCTGGCAGGTTCTTCAAGATGTTCTTCGAGATGTCCATCGAGATGTTCGTCGAGATGTTCTCCACCATCTGGAGGATGACCAAGACAAAATCACTGGCACATCACCACCCTGTATAGATCAAAGGCTAGAGGCCAGCACGTCCTTCTCATTATGATGCTGTTGGTTACTCTGAAATTCTAACTGTACCGTACACCTCACCCCGCCCAAGGGGCTGGCACCATCCACCAACGATAACCCATACATATTTCAAATGAGACTGACTAGGACAACCAATAAATAATAATAAGGTGTGGGTGCTTGAGTAGCGATTATTTTCCAACATTTTCTTGATTAAATAACGGTTAAATCGAATAGTCGATGGCCAGCACATGACATCGTCCTTTAACCATCCTCTAATGAAAATAAACCAGAAGGATAAAATTGTTGTAGTCAGAATGGTGTATCGGAGGTCCGTGTCAAGTACAAAAGGAAGAGACTGAGGAGGCGAAAGACGAATGGAAGGACTCTCCAGAGATCCAGCCACAATATAGATCGAAGGCCAGAGGCCAGCACGTTCCTCTCATTATGCTCTTGGCTCTTCGAAATCCTAACTGTACAGTGCACTCACCCCGCCCAAGGGCCTCTCCATGCCATTGCACGATCATGTATATAACGTACTTACATACGAGATCAGGACGCCTGGCCAGTTATTTCAAGTTGCGTCTGTAGTCATTGGTCTCTCCAGGACTTGGGGATATCGGCACACCTTGAGGTGCACATCTCCACCAAAAACGAAGAGCACTATGAAAATAATGTTCAAGCTATCTTCTCAAATATAATTCAGAAATGTGAGATATTTTAAGTTTGAAATATTCATTTTTTTTTTACAATAATTTCATCACTAGAAATTCCTATTCACACCTCTTCACACACTGAGAAAAAGTAACAGTTCTTCCATCAATTATATTTACTTTCCACCAAGCCATGTAAATGTAAATGTGTAAATACTCCCATAACACAGGGTAATGCCAAATTTTTTTGTGATCAGTACAGAATATATTGGAGAAATGATTTTTGCACTCGTCGCATTCTACATTTTATATAATTGTTTATCAAATTAATTTATTAGTCCTATTGATGTTATGAGAGAACGACTCCATTGTCTCACGTGTTTATCAATGATGATTGAATAAGTATTTGGGGATAAATAGCGAGATATTTCTTTTGACACGAGTTCGTAAGTTAAAAAATAAAGTAGATATGAGAGGAGGCTGTGTGGATAGTATAAGTACTATAAGTAATGTGGTATTGGTAGTTTGAATATGTATCGTGTGCTATTGCCGTACCGATATCAACTTGGAAAATTTTTAAATCGACCATTGGCAAATTTATCGGCACACTTTCACATTCCATCGTACAGTCTGGGGCGATTTGCCTTGGCACTTTATTGGCGGCATTTAATTGCGAGAGCAAGCAACGGTGCGAGAGAACACCGCAGAAAGACCATTTGCACCAACACGGATCTCCTGGGCTTCTTGGACACCCCGTGGTCACTTCCTACTTTCTGTGCTCGTGGTTTGTTGGATATCGAGGGGAAAAGGAGAAAAAATGTGGAGGAATAATATGAACTTCGAAATACGATAAAAGAACGGGAAAGAGCTCATTTGAGATTCTATAAAGGGATTTCGTTGGGGCAATATTGTTGGTGAGGAGTTAGGAGGATGTGGATGCTGTTGGGGAAGGAAGACGGGGCTGATAATAAATATACCCCTCTTTATACGGTTATCTGGTGGGGAATCGCGTAAACGAGGACGTATGCGAACGTTTCGTACGGCAAATTGGATTCTGCCAAGTGCAATGTTATAATTACTACCGTTGTTTGGAAATCGTATCAATGACAATCGCAAACGGTGGTATTTCGATTATTCAGGAGTGAGGAATTTAATAAGGGGCACTTGGGGAGTCACGCTGATTTACCTTTTTAGAGATAGAGGCTTTGCTCACCTTGGTGAAAAAAAATTTTACGAATAAATCACTGTCGGATAGTTGTCATCTTGCGGAACGGTTTTTTTATTTTAACAGTTTTAGTCTTATTGCGATATTCTTGAGTTAATCCTTGGGATTTAACATTTCAACTGTCAATTCTGTTCACCATCTGTCGACATAAATATTTCTTGAGATGTTGGCACTTCTTTTAAATGCAGATGCAAAAAATTCTTTTTAGGAAAATTGGAGGCTTTAATGGAAGTGGTTTTATGTGTGTTTCGTAAGGTACATGGAAATTTATTTCTTTTTGGTATGAGGTTAGTCGGGGATTTATGAAATACGAGGGGAAGAATGGAGAAATATGAATGACGGGAGTGGATTTAAATGTTGTGGTAAATTTTTCAGGCATTTGTCGGTGATATTTATTAGGAGTTTAATTGAAAATGGAATGAAATTGTCGATTTCGAACGTGCGAGCGACTGATTAACATAATGCTGCGGCGGTAATCAATCTGAATGCTTATTGACGTTTGCGAAATAGCAATCGTGTGTAGGAAAGATAAAAGCGTTGCGAAATGAGAATAAATTCTCTGCCGACAGTTATTCATCATGAAAAACTTAAAGGGAAGAATTTTTTAAAATCAATACAAGGAAGCTGATGAAAACTTGTCATTGAGAAAAAGTCTTGTTCGATTGATTTTTTTTTTCGATCAGTCAGCCGAGAATCTGGACAGAGTTGAATAAATTTTCAATAAAAATTCGATTTGATAGTATTCTGATTTATATCTGGACAAAAAAATCTGATTATGGATTTTCCATGGATTTTTCATTTTCTTTTGAAATTTTTGCGAAATAATTTTTGTTTATTTTCCAATTGTAAGACTTGAAAAAAAAAATCATGATCTCATTTTTTATACAATTATATAAAATTTTCATAGCAAATTTCTCTCTCGTCTGGAGTATTTGCAGAACCACTCATTTCTCCGATTTCCCCTTAAAACCAGTCAATTAGAATTCCGCGAGTTCAAACAAACAGATCAGTACATCATGAATACAAATGGCAAGTAACGAATTAAAAAACCGGATCTGCGCACAGAAACCACTGAATTAGGCCAGCCGTATTTCTTCTCTATTGTCTATTTCCTCAGAAATTTCCCTCATAACTCTAATTAAGATCAGGAAACATATCTGATGATCGCACCGATAACAGAAACCAACAATTATGATTCTGAAAACAATGATAAATCACGGAAGAGAAATGGAAAGTCGTAATGTAATGGACTCTTCTTTTAAAAAATCTGCAAGAAAACCTAGGTTTTCCTGAGAAAACCCCAGTCCCTGGATTTTCAAATATTTGAATTCATCCATTTAATCTCCAACACAACTTCGGAAATAATTAAAATTATATCAATAACGATCATTTTTCACTCTCCCATAATTTCAAGTGATATGTATCTCAGATGGGTCTGCCATTTTGTTTTTTCTCTGCAAAACACTTAAAGGCAATTTCATAATCACCTCGAGATACGAAGATATCGATCGGAAACACCTCCTCGAGTTCAATTGAGTCATCTCGTTTCACCACTTTATTCCTGATTCCTTTTTTTCTTATTTTGATTGCAAAAAAGGGCTCTTGAAGAGCTCCCCCAGGACCCTATTCATATTCATTTTTTAATTCCCCCTAGCAATGCATAAAAAAAAAATTATCCGCGTTACCGATTTCACTCGATTTGATTATGAATCTCAATCAAAAAAGACATTTACATCAGTCAGTGCGGTAAATGGTGGATTACCCACGCGTTTCTCACCTTTTGAATACGTCGTAATTAAAAAATAAAAATTCTATACGAAACACGTGTGATATAGATTTACCCTCACACGTGCCATAAAATTTTTACCGCACTTGTTCTGTAATGTACTACCCAAAAAAAAAAACCGCTGTTCACCGGCTACACTAGGGTCCGCCACTTTCCGATCCGTCACACTTTATCGAGACCTGCATTATCAGCGCGCAATAAATTGTTGTTAAAATCGAAATTCAGTGTATCAATAGCAGCGCAAATGAATCTCATCACAAATATTCTCTCTCACTCTCTCTCTCCGTATATATTTATATATTCATGAGGTAGAATCCATTTTTCGAACGTCATCAGTCTAGTGTTGATTCGTACGCCCGTGTCAGTGCAGTCTATCATAAAAAAATGGAGTGGCATACGCAAAATATGGTGATAATCTCGTAAGAGCAGTCGTCCCGTGTGCCTCAAAAGGAAAATAAAAAAAATCGACAAATGTCACATCTGTTATCACCTCTCCATGGATTAGAAATGTCACGTCGAGAACGTTCCGTTGAAATTCGTTTCGTTTGACCAATAAGTGCATCCATGGAAGAGTGTATTTGAACGGTGCTCCAATCCTCCATTCAATTGAAAAAAACCAAGTGAAAATAAATCGTCACTAGGTCCCCCACGCAAATCGGTCAGCAGTAGTTGTGAAACATCACGACAACGTTGTAACAGGTCTCCAACACGTAGAGGTAAAACCTTCATAACCACATTCGGAGTATTTATTGACTAATACAGAGTACATGCTGAATATGCAAGAGTCAATGATTTCGTCACGCTGTCACCAGAATATCCAGTCGTCTTGCCCATTGTCTGCAATAGTCATCAATAATTTCCTAATTTTTTCAATAGTTCAATCATTTTTTTGAGATCGCTGGTTATCAAATTTGACACGAATTGACCGATGAGATAGAGCATAACCCTGAGTTATTAATTATCTGTGATGACGTTAAAAGCCTCCATTGATCACAATTTACGATGCATCAACGTGTGACCTAACCGCTATATCGTAGAATTAATTTATTGACATTTACACTTGAGTACACTTGAGTAAGCGCAGAATACAATATTATGAATTCCAGTGACACGGTGATAGCCAAAATGAATCAGGAAACAGTGTATGGTACTCACGAGGACAGCCATGTGGTGATGTCGGAAAAAGTTCAATCACTGGCTGGGAGTATTTATCAGGAGTTTGAGCGAATGATAGCCAGATATGATGAGGATGTTGTAAAAGAATTGATGCCCCTGCTAGTCAATGTTTTGGAGTGTCTCGATATCGCTTACACTGAGAATCAGGAGCATGAAGTGGAGCTAGAGCTATTGAGGGAGGACAATGAACAACTGGTAACGCAGTATGAGAGAGAAAAACAACTGAGAAAAACATCTGACCAGGTCTAATGATAAATATGAATTGAATTCAGTGGGTAATAATAATGGCTTTGTTGATATTTTTTGCTTACTTCGTTTTATTTTTGTCTGCAGAAACTCCTGGAGCTGGAGGATGTAGCGGAGGATGAGAGGAAGCAATTACTGTCGAAAATGGATAATTTGGAGTCTATTCTCCGGATGTTAGAACTGAAGAGTAAAAATTCACACGATCATGGTACAAATGACAATGACTCCAATTCTTGCCCTCACAGAACACGATCCTACAGTAGAGTAGTTTATTATTTTTTTCTGTTTCGTTATGTATTATTTTAAATATTCCTCCTTGAAACGTTTTAGCGTTTCGCCATTGATTTCTTTGTGATGTTTATTGCTTTTCTGTATTTGCCTGGGGATATTCCTTGCGATTCAATGATTTTCGCGGAGAATTCCGATTGATTTGTCATCGAGAATATCCCAGCATTGCCGGATCCTCGTGAAAATCTCAACCGAAGTAAATTATGGAAAAAGCATTTGTAATTTTCCAGTGGTTCGCCTGGAGGAGAAAGAAGCCGAGTTGAAGCGTGAATATTCACGTCTTCATGACAGATACACCGAATTATTCAAAACCCACGTTGATTATATGGAGAGGACGAAGATGCTGGTTGGAAGCACTGAGAGATTAGAAAATACAACTGGCGGTCGTGGCCCTGCACGATTACCAGCACTTGGTCTTGCCCATATGTCCAGGAGTTCTGGACCTCTCAGTTATGGATTCCAAAGTTTAGAGACCAGTATGACTGCCGAGGATATTCAGGAGGAGTTATCGACTAATGGAGCTAGTTTAAAGTCCGAGATGCAGGACAGCAGTAGTGAAGCAGTACCTGAAACCTCGGATAAGAGTCAATTGACTGATCAACCGGTACAAGAGAATAAGACAACTGCCGTTAGTAGACCATTCATAGATGAAAGTCCTGAAACAGAAATACCACCTGTCGTTGTTACACCAACAACACCAACCATTGATAAATTTGGTTCAACTCCAAGTGGTCGCAGCAGAACTGAACGAGAGCAACGAAGCGGAAATACCCTGTATCAGGAGCTCAGTTTCCAAGATGCTGATGCATTAGGGGAGATGGACGAGGGTGCAGACATAACTGGTAATTTTCATTCATTCAATTTCTCGTGTCAACATCTCCGAACTCAAAAAATCTACAGCTTTAGATATTTTGCTAAACCTCTGGTTCATGCACTGTCATAATTCCAGCATTTAATTAACTTGACATTTGTGGTTAATCCTTAATCCTTCATTAATTTATAGGCAGTTGGGTTCATCCAGGAGAATATGCGTCATCGGGTATGTTCAATGAAATTTTAGTAAAAGTACGAATTACCTGTTTCATAGACACAAAGAAAATTCGAATATTCGAATATTCCTTTTTTTTTTCATTTTATAAAACTACTAACAATCGCGCATTATTTTCTCTGTTCTGTTTTTGACATGTTTTCCACAAATACTTACCAATGTGATGCATGGCGAATAATCAGTTAATGACAACTTTTTCGGTGAGTGCCTTTCGTGTTTTTTTATATCAAATCCATACGAGATTTATTTATTCGGTTGTTCAGAAGTCGTAATGCTTTTTGAATTTTTTAGGAATGGGAAAGGAAGTCGAGAATTTAATTATGGAGAATAATGAACTCTTAGCGACGAAGTAAGAATTGTTTAATTTTTTTTTTTATCAATGTCGTCAGGTTAAAGGCTAATCACATCTATTTTTTCTAGAAATGCTTTAAATATCGTGAAAGACGACTTGATAGTAAAAGTTGACGAGCTAACTAGGTAAATAATACAAGATAAAATTTTTTCTCAATTGTGAATTCATCACGGGCAGAGTAATGCATTGTGAATTTTAATTGGCGTATGATTTTTTTTTTGTTGTATTGCTAATAGTGAGCAAGAAATTTTGCGAGAGGAAGTACGAGGAATGCAACAAGCGAGAGACAGGCTTCGTCAGAAAGTAGCGGCACTTGAAGAAGAATTGAAAAAAACCAAAGAGGAGGCAGAATTGGCGAAAGCCACGAAGAGTGACGACGAGGAAGACGTGCCACTGGCTCAAAGGAAGCGATTTACCAGAGTGGAAATGGCTAGAGTACTTATGGAGAGGAATCAGTACAAAGAGAGGTTTATGGAGCTTCAGGAGGCTGTGCGATGGACTGAGATGATTCGAGCCAGTAAAACAGATCCTGCTAGTATTTCAGGGGGAAAACAATCTGTCTGGAAGTTGTGAGTGCTAAAACATTTATTTCACATTTTTTTAATGTACAACTTCATGAACTTCAAAATCATACCTCCATCACCATACGGTTCCGAACTCCACCTCCGCAATTAATTATATTTATGAAAATTTTTAAAATTCAGTTTTAGTAATCTCTTTACTGGACCAGCAGACCGAGGGGCTATACCAAGGGGTCCTCACACATTACCCCACATTCGTTACAGTGCCCCAACGAATCAAGTCGTTCCAGCACCACCGCTGGACGCAATGCGTCGACGTACATTGAAAAGTCGCCAGTATTTACTGGATCGGGAAGACAGCATGTGAGAATTCCATTGAATTATCCAAAATGCACATTATTCACTTATTAATTACACGACTGTTATTTCCTGAAGAGTATTCATTTTTTGAGCGTCGATTTTTTTCGTTAAATCTAGTTCTGTCGATCTGAAAAATCCAACTGATTTTTCATTTTGTTATGAAAAACATTTGCTGGGTGTTTTACAGCAGAATTGAGTTGGAATATATTTTATCCATTGAATTAATTTGGTATCATGTGAATAATCGAAAAGTCTTGAGTGATTTTCAATTCCTAGTCGAAAGTAACAAAGTATCGCCTCATAATCGAGGATATTATGTAAATGAAAAGTTTATTTAATTTTGCAGTCACATATTATATATCACGATCTCGTCGGAGTTCTGTTAATAAAAGGAATGTGTGTCATACCTTTCGGCTTTTATTTAAGTGTCACTAGGTTTAATGTATTCGTATCGTTTGTAATTGGTGTCGAAATGTACATATTTTCATGAACATGCACATGTCATGTGCCTATCACTGAACGGAAAGATGTTTCAGTATTTTAGAGAAACGTGCAGCACGTCTTGCCAACGAAAGGAAGGAGCAGTATCGCCAGGTGAGAGCACACGTGCGTAAAGAGGATGGAAGATTACAGGCGTATGGATGGAGTTTACCTGGAAAACCGAGTGCACCAGCTAGACAACCTGTCCCAGTTCCAGTCTACTGTCGCCCACTTCAAGAAACCGAACCAGGAATGAAGGTAAAATTGAAAGAAATATTCCGTAATTTAACTCATTTTTAGGTAAAATCGACTCATCACCGTTTACCTCTTCAAATCAATAATTGTTCAGATTTGGTGCGGAGCTGGGGTAAATCTAAATGGTGGAAAGACTCGAGATGGTGGTCTAGCAATCGGTGGAAGTGTATTTTACGCTGATGAAGCACAAGAAACCATAAATGTCAGAGGGGAAGTTGAGGATGCTGTTGAGTATTTGGATCAAGAGCTACAGGAGAGTGAGCTGCGTCGTCTTGAGGCTGAAAAAATGGAGCAGCAACTGAGTTCCCTAGTGTGGATTTGCACATCAACTCAAAAAATGTCCAAAGTCACTGTGATAGACGCCAACAATCCAGCTGATATATTAGAAGTATTTAATGTTTGTCAGAGTCACCTACTGTGTATCGCAAGCGTACCTGGTGCCAAGGAAAGAGATTATCCGCAAAATGCAAATAATTACGCAATACGAATAACTAATGGTGCTTGTGATAACAATCTCACTAGCAAACGTGCCAATGGTAGTCAAATTGCTGAAGAAGCGATAGGTGGTGGTAAGAACAGCCTAAACACTGGTGACTCGAATGATCGGAGTCAGGCAACTTCAGAGGAGCCAAGTTCCCTGGAGGAAAAGCCGAGTGAGGACTCCGAGAGAGTTACAGACGTTGATCAAAGCTCAAATACAGAACCACAAAGTTTAGAAACTATCGACAGTGAGACAGCTAATCTGGGAAAAGTTCACTTTGTTAAGAGCAATTTGGAGGAAACATCGAGTAAGACAAACGAGGAAGAGGGAGATGAGAATGAGGAAATTTGCGATACTAATATTGAAAAAATGTCGTCTATTCAACCTACGATGTGGCTTGGGGCGCAAAATGGGGCGGTTTACGTGCACTCGGCTGTGGCTAAATGGTCGGTGTGTTTGCACACTGTTAAGCTCAGAGATGCTGCATTGTCAGTAGTGTAAGCATCTGTACTTATTAGGCACTCTAAATTATTTTTTTCGCGGCATTATCAAATCGTCGGTGATATTATAATTTTAGTCGTATTTGTTAAACCTTTCAGCCATGTTCAGGGGCGAGTTTTGGTGGCTTTAGCAGATGGAACAGTGGCAATATTCCGCAGAGGATCAGATGGACAATGGGACCTATCACAACACCACATCATCACTCTTGGTAGCCCTCAGCATTCGATTCGCTGCATGACTGCCGTTTCTGGAAAAACTGTGTGGTGTGGTTACAGAAACAAAATCCACGTCATTGACCCTGTTCATATCACCCTCGAGGTAAAAGCATGGAAGGATCATTGAGTTGTAATTAACACGGTGAAATGGTTTTTCAAGGGTTTATAAAAATTTTAAGCAATGAGAGTAAGGATTAGGATTCTTTCAGTGTACCGTGGATGCACATCCCAGGAGAGAGTCTCAAGTGCGTCAGCTAGCTTGGCTAGGGGAGGGGGTCTGGGTCAGTATTCGGTTGGATTCTACCTTGAGACTGTATCATGCACACACTTATCAGCATCTTCAGGATGTCGACATTGAACCGTACGTTAGCAAAATGTTGGGAACCGGCAAACTTGGATTCTCTTTTGTGAGAATTACTGCGCTGCTCATATCTTCTAATAGGCTGTGGATTGGGACTGGGAATGGAGTCATCATATCGGTACCATTATCTGAAAGTAAATAAAAAATTTATCAATTTGTGTGTTGAAAAAAAAAATCGAAATCCAAAACAAATGAGATTTCGAATGTTTCGAAGGAACAACTAGATATAAATTGTTATTTCATCAGGTGCTGGTGGTTCATTGGCGCTATCAAGAGTTGGGTATAGAACAGAAGCACCAGGAGTTGGTGTTCGTGTATTTGCATCGGATTATGGTGTAACCCTGGGGAGTTTCGTGCCCTATTGCAGTATGGCCCATGCTCAATTAAGCTTCCACGGACACCGAGATGCCGTCAAAATGTTCGTCGCTGTTCCCGGTAAATTATCAACCTCTACCAAATGACATTCTCTCCTCTCCTTCATTTTTAAAAGGAATGCATCCATTTAGTTCCTTTCGTTGCCTATAAATAACTCACAACAACCGCTTTTTAAGAGAAATTAAATATTCATGAGCTCGGAATTATTTCCGTCGACAATCGGAAAAACGCAGATTTTTATTCCTGGAAAAAAAGGCTTTGTTGAGTTCTACCTCGAGAGGTAGATTTTTATTTTTACATGTATTTTTCTAGGACATGGCGGACAGAGTGCAATTTCCGATGGTACTCAGCCTGCAATGCTGGTCTTGTCAGGTGGCGAAGGATACATTGATTTCAGAGTTGGTACGTAAATTTTAAAAGTGAAATATTATATTGACTTACGAGATTCGTTTTTATCTCACGATAATGCGTAGGCATTATTCTATTCTTCTCTGTAATTCCATTGGGTTTATTGCGACGATGAAAAATTTCAGCTGAAGAGGCGGAAGACGAGAGTGATGTGGCAACCCACCTCATTGTCTGGCAGTTGGTCAGGTATGCCCCCAGAGAGTTAACGCGTTGTACATGAATAATTGCCCAATATCTCGACAATAAAAATAAAAAAATTATTTCACTACAACTCATGATTAAAAATTTCACTCATCCGCTGGTGAATGCACATCGCTCGAATATACTAATACGATTATCGCAAGCTGAAGAAATAATGCTTGAATCTTGAGGGGGTGGAAGATTGGCTTCAGTCAAATTGATATCCACGTTTTTATATTAATTTTCCTATTATAATCAATCAGTTTCCATCAGGTGTTCTTTACACTCAACTTCTATCACTTCGCAACGCGGAATTTTATTAGTTATACCTTAATACCTCTTACGATTACTTTGATTCTCATTATGAATAATTTTATGTAAATAATACCGCTTGTCTCTATTAACAGCTCAACAAAATTTCGTGTTATTCATACACAAATTTCGTTATCTATTGCTCTCTGGGGGTAGATGGATCTTCTAGTCGTTGTAATGTAAATAAACACGGTTGATCTGGTCACTGTTGAAAAATTTCGATGGGCGATTTCCGTCAACATGAATTCAACTTCCACAAGGAAAATTTGATCCCACCGTGTAATTAATACTAAGAAATATTTCGACAGTGTAGCTACTTTTTGGATTACTTGTTAAAATACACAGTGAGGAGAATTGTCTTCCAATGAATAATATTCCACAGGTGATGGCGATGAAACCGAAGAGGGACTAGAACGTTCTAGCGCAGCTGTACCCAATCCAGATGAGCACGGTGAGCAAAGTCACCTGATAGTGTGGCAGGTTCAATCACCATTGCCAATCGACATGAATGGCTAGCCCACACGAGGAGTGTAACTGAACAGCTGTGAATTTTATTGCTGAGAATGCAATAACTTAACGAAATGCAGGAAACGAAAATCATGTGGAGTGTAGATAGTGAATCATGTCACTCTCAAACAGTTTTGTCTTAGATATGATTATGTTAATATACAAATGAAGCATTAAAGTGTGCAGAGAGGCAACGATTTAACCGATGATGACGCTTGATTATGCCCGAAGGTAATGGGAGACAACTTTAAATCTTTTCGTAGTAAATTATTGATGGTTTTAGAGACGCTTATGTACGATATTTCTTTTTATATGAAAATGGTCCTTGCCGAGTCTTAATTTTTAGTATGAAACAAATTTTTTTATCTATTGTCTGGAACACCTCAGATAGTGGGAGAGGAGCAGAGATAATGTAATTGTTAGCTTGAATATGACGGATAGAGACTATCGCGCTGAAAGAAACCTGCACGTAGGATTCTATTGGATTCTACCATTAATATAGACTAATTTGTAACAAATATCGACGAATATAAAATATACAAGATTACATTATTTATTCAAATTATGAGATGAGTGATTTTTTATTGGTTTTCTTGGATTGATTATGGAATTTCTGTTCTTTATGAGAACAATTGGATGTATTTGACATGTTTATGGTTTTTTAGTTTTAACCGTAAAGATCAATGAAGTTGAAAGAATTCAGGAGACAAGCGCATTGTTATAGACATATATTAACTTATTTATTTGTTTTGGATCATCTGAATATACCTGATAAGAAAAGTAAATACTGTCACTGATATGGGAATAAAGTAATCATGTAAAATTGCGCGCTTTCTCTTGCTTCGATTCTCACTCAGTTGTCCTACCAAAGATAAGGAATAAATTTAAATAAAAAAAATACATAGAAATTGGGGTAATATGTGATTTATATAATGCATAGTTAATGGAATGGCTCTAGTTAAATAACAAAATTGTCACTAGGTGTTCTTGCCGACGAGAACTTTCTTCTCACTATTTATAATGAATAAAAATTGCAGTGATGGGACATTTTGAGAACGAGAATAATTCATTATTGTACCTGGCTCAAGTGTCGAGCCTTCATCATTCTATAATAAAATAAAGTTATAATTATATATTTTGTCGCCTTTGAAATTTTTTTGCATTCAAAACATTTGAAGTATTATAAAAAAAAGTGAAAATAAAATCTGACCATCGAAAGATCCAAATGAGGATAAACGACGAAAAATGTGACTGGGTGTGTTGTGGTTGTCAATTAATTAAAAATTCAGAGGACAGATGGTTTTTTAAAAAATGAAAACCATGAGATTATCAACTATATTCTGTCCTCGTCGAACACTCGAAACGATTGCGATGCGTAAATCGCGATATCATACAAGTCGCAACTTCTCCCACCACTTGGAACCGATCCGAGTCAATAAAACCCCTGGGTTGATGTTGAAGGGGGCAAGTATTCAGTGGACACCGACATACGGTTTAACCGGCTCCAAAAACTTGTTTATTCCTCAGATAATTGCGTATTACAGTAATTGTTCGTCAAAGGATACAGCAGAAATGGCGCGAGATCCTGCATCCGAGCAGCTCAACGAGTACAAGAAATCTGTCAAGGTAGAATAACCTCTGCAATTCAAAAGAATTCATTCCCAATGGGGTATGAGGTTATCTTCAGATGAATATTCATCTTTGGTTACTTTTTTTTTTTGCTTAATTGAAGCGAGTTCACATGCAATCCGGTTACTCGGTTCAACGTTCAATGACACGTCCATTACAAAAATCCATCATCAATATGGACTTTGCATTCTTACCTCAAAGATATTTTACAACCATTCCACTAAAATTCCCTTTTTTTATTTTCCTAACGAACTTGGGATAGGCTTGACATGAAAAAATATCAAGTTTTTGCGCTTTGTCATTATTCAATGACTCACGAAGTTTCACGGTTGCGAGAACATTTTCCTGCAATTTTTTTTTTAAAGAAATCCATGAGCTAGAAAAAAAATAATCAAAATTATCGCACCATCAGGAAATCCATCGTGAGTCATTATTTTTTCATGTGCCTCAATAATTCACCAGACGAGTAAAAAAACGTGAACTTTGGCTTTGGAAGATCTTTAAATCATTTTTTCAACACTTCACCTGCTTCTGACAAAAATAACAGGTAAAAAATTTACCCTCTCGAATATTATCATTTTGATTGCACTTGAAATAACATATAACTGATCAACAAATTATCGATCTAGTTGCAAGTGAATGTGAGGAGCGGAAATAACCAGCTGTAAATAGCGATGTTCAGAATTTGGAATGACCTATTTCACTTGAAACTCGAGTGAATCTATTCAAATTTCATTCAAATTTAATTCGAATTTCCCTCCAGTAAAATCATTGATCAATTTTCCCGATAATTAGCCTAATTGATCCAATAGATTAATTTTCTTTCGAGTCCTTTAGATTCCAAGAATTCATTGATTATCCTTTTATTTAATTTCATCGCATGACTATGGAGTTGCATGATCCCATGTAACACTGCTATTAGAATTATGATTAATGCATAGTGCCTAAGTTGAGAATTGAAAAATTCTGATGTGAGTGAGAACCATTCACTCATTAAAGTCCACTTAACTCGCGATAATTGCATTGTATACAATGAAATGCCTATAGTACATCCTGCATGGACCCTCATGCCGGAATTTTAAAGTTCCATAATTAGAAGGATTGACTGATGGTCCGAGGATAAAATTCCATTCGGAAGAAAAGATAAATTTCGCATTAATAATTTTATTCCAAGATTGTTGATGTATTTGCGTCATGAGTCAACACTTTGACATAATCGATGCGGGGATTCATCATGATTAACATGCACTCACTGGAAATGCATAGGAAAATGGAAGTGATGGCGTGTAATACCGGAATTCCGATGAAAATTGTGGTTTTAGCAATATTCAGTAACCACTAAAAATCATTTATATCGCGAATTGATAGCGAATTATTAGCGGCGAGGTGCCTGAGGAAATGTTCTTGACACCCATTGACAAAGCCGATACAAAAACCGGACAATTACAAAACCGTCCACGCCAATTAAATTCAATAGCACTAGAATAATTTCATCGCGCAATAATGCGTCAGCTATTTTTGCTCGTATCGGCGCCTATAATGGCATGAAAAAAATTCGCATTAAGAGTGTCGGAAAAATGCGTTTCTACCGAAAATTAAATCACCCGCACTGCAAACACTCCATGAGGTTGAAAAATGAATTTCTCGTTACTGATAAGATTGAGCTCGGTATTTTTCAGGGCGATCCACCGGTTCTATTGACTGGCAATGGTGCCCCCATTGCAGATAAAACGGCTAGCCTTACGGCTGGCCCAAGGGGCCCCATGCTCATCCAAGATTTCGTTTACCTCGATGAAATGTCGCACTTTGATAGAGAACGAATTCCCGAGCGAGTCGTTCATGCTAAAGGAGCGGGTAGGATTGGCATTTAATTATGATGAAAAAAAAAGTGTCACGGTCATAGATCAGAGATTATTTTCCATTTTTTATTCCCTTCGTCAATAGGTGCCTTTGGTTACTTCGAGGTCACTCATGATATCACTAAATACACAAAAGCCAAAGTGTTTTCTAAAATTGGCAAGCGAACACCGATTGCCGTAAGATTTTCCACCGTGGGAGGTGAGAGTGGCTCAGCTGATACCGTCAGGTAAAATAAAAAATCATATCGCAAGAATAAATAACGATGGAAATTATTCAATCAGGATTTTTCCACTGCAGCTGGAAAATGGAGATTCATTTCCATATTTAACTTCATCAAAGTAATTGCACTGGAATAATAAAAATAGATTGCGTTTGCTTGTTAATTGCGAAGACTTATAAATTCGTCATGCATCGGTGAATTGTAGGTTTTAGAAACAATGGCCTTTATCACTCTCCATGTTGCAGAGATCCGCGTGGATTTGCTGTCAAGTTCTACACCGAGGAAGGAATATGGGACTTGACTGGAAACAATACTCCCATATTTTTCATCAAAGATCCACTCATGTTTCCAAGCTTTATTCACACCCAAAAGAGGAATCCAACGACTCATCTCAAGGATATGGACATGTTCTGGGATTTTCTGTCTCTCAGACCCGAAAGTACACACCAAGTTATGATCTTATTTTCTGATCGTGGTATTCCTGACGGATATCGACGCATGAATGGCTATGGTTCCCACACATTTAAACTTGTTAATGATAAAAATGAATTCGTGTGGTGCAAATTCCATTACAAGGTGGACTGATTTTTTTTTTCGATTTATTATTTTTTTTTATTATGATTTTAAATGCATCGATATTACCCCATTTTTATTCTCAGACGGATCAGGGAATTCAGAATCTTCTTGCTGAGAAAGCGGGCCAGCTAGCGTCAACAGATCCAGATTACGGCATTCGCGATCTTTACAATTCCATTGCTGATAAAAAGTACCCCACCTGGACATTTTATATTCAAGTAATGACGGAGGCTCAAGCGCAATCGTTCAAGTGGAATCCTTTTGATTTAACGAAGGTATTATTTCCAGATAACGTTACCGCAAAATTTTTATATGTCCATTTTCAGATTTTTTTTTTACGGGAATTGAAATGGATACGCGTTGAGAATATTTCATAACAATAATTCTTAATCGCAGAATTTTTTCAATTCCCCACTGCATTGGTATTTATACCTTATTTATCTTTGATAAGTAGAATTGGAAAGAATTTTCGAGATAATCCAGATAGTACTCACCGTTGATAGAGATTACACTATTTCGCGCAATTTTCTTTCATCACATTATTGCATAATTACAAAAGATTTTACTGATCAGTTACGTGACTGATTAACCAATGCAGAATGACGGACAAACAAGACTTCGAGAGCTGAATTATTCATGATAATGAATATTAATTATCGTGTTTTTCGCAAGAAGAGAGCATAGAAAATTGAAATGAAATAACCAATCACGTGTTCTAATATAGTAGTTACATTAAAATGTAATTCATCATTTAAATTCTAGATCTGGCCCCACAAGGACTTCCCACTGATTCCAGTTGGAAAATTGGTCCTCGACCGAAATCCACAAAACTATTTCCAAGATGTTGAGCAATTGGCTTTTGACCCTGCACACATGGTGCCAGGTATTGAAGCCAGCCCTGACAAGATGCTCCAGGGTCGTCTGTTTGCATATGGAGACACACACCGACATCGCCTGGGACCCAATCATTTACAATTGGCTGTCAATTGTCCTTACAAGGTATTAAATATTCTTAACAATTACATTTTTTAAAGTCTGTGGGAAATGAGGAGCTGGAACCAGAAATGCTGAACGAATTCAAGTTGTACCTATAATAATTATTATTTTTTTCTCTTTTAAGCAACTTTCTATTATGAATTATCAACGAGATGGCTTGATGCCGACTCACAATCAGAATGGAGCCCCGAATTACTACCCAAATAGCTTCAGCGGTCCCGTGGAGTGTCCTGCTGTACGTTCACCACCGATAAAACTTTCAGCGGATGCCGTTGCCGATCGTCATCAGCCAGTTAATGAGGATGACTTTGGACAAGTCACGACATTCTGGCGGCAAGTATTGGACGATGGAGCTAAAACCCGACTGGTTGATAACATGGTTAACAGTTTGATGGGTGCATCGAACTTTATCATCGAACGTGCCGTTCGCAACTTTTCGCAAGTCGACGTTGATCTCGGAAAAAGATTAACGGAGGGTCTTAGAAAGAAGGGAAAAATCATTAATGTCTCCGGAAAATCGGCGAACTTGTAGGATTATTATGTCTCAATATGTCTGTTATGGGTATTGACGATATTCAATTATATTTGCACTTTTTACATATCTTAGATATTTTTTATATGAGGGTTTTTTCATTCAATTAATTCCATTGTGCTGAGAATTTACGTGTGATAAATCAATAAACGTTCTTATGCAAATTGTGGATTTTTTATTTATTTAATGGCGGCAGTTGACTTTCATTTCGTCATATTAAAAAGGGGTTGTCCCAAAGAGGATTAACTGGACCGTCGACTGGTTCCTCTGACAGTGGAACTGCTACTGAGGTAGTTACCGAGTCAGCTGACGGGCAGACAACCCCATTGCGTGGTGCCCTCCCTCTCTTGGGGTATGGTACTACTGAGCCTCTACTTTAGTCAATCCTCTTTGCTCGTTACTGACATTTACTAAACCAAATTTTTGAAAACCGATGAAAGCGCCATTCCTTTTTAGGCCAGTAAAAAGGTTATATCGCTGGTCCAAACCTGAAAGACTGAATGCATTTAGTTTATCTTTTTTGTAGACAATGTAAGGGATTTATTGTTCTTGCACTGCAATAAAGGGGATTTCTTAAAAAAATTCCGGGTGAAACGTCAGAGTTTTTTGTACAGAAAATTACATCGAACTGGAGTAACAAGGAATTTCAACATTTTGGTAGCATTTAGGTTATTTTGGTTAGTGTTTTTTTATTCATAAATAAAATTCGAAATTTTACGAATTTTATTGAAATTTTATATCAGTGAAAATTGTCCCGTCAATATTTGTTCATTGACGTTGATTGACACATTCTCCTTGGATGCAGATCTGAAAATTCGATTTTAATCAATCGTAGAATTTTTTCCTCAATGCAGTAAAATATGCTCAACCTTATCATCTCCACATTTTGATCCTTCAGCAGCAGGAGCAGTAGCAAAACACTGATCTCTCCTTTCAGGCATTGTGCAATACAAAAGTTGACAAGCCCTTTCATCGTGCTATGAATAAAAACAATGTTATCGATCCTCGATGTCATCCTCGGGTTTATTACCAATTCAATTTCAGTGATTATCTTACGTGACAAGCCTCAAGTGCCCCAGCTTCATAGCACTGCTGATCTAACGATAATAACGATCCTGGCAATATTCTTGGAAAGTCTGCGTCGAATTTTGGTTTATTGTAGAGACATTTGGCTCCTGGCTGTCTTTTAAAAAAGAGAAAAATTGCAGATCAAAACAAATTGATTGAAACAGTATAAAAATTTTCGGAATGCACGAGAAACTTACTTTAGAAAAAATTTGAAGCATTCTAAACTACAATCGGACCATTTAAAGGCATTGCTACCGAATCTCTGACTGCTCATCAGATATCCATCTTGCCAGTTACACCTGGTGGCTCCTGGACCACCAATATATGGTGGTGATGGAGACCCATCGTGTGGCACCCCCAGTCTAAATCATTCATGTTCCGTTTCGTGGAGGTGCAAGGATTTTCGTGCGTTTTTCTTTCTACAAGTTCTTGATTTCTTAAAAATTTTTATAAAAAATCGCATGAAAATCTTCGCATCACCTTGAAATTCCGTGAGTCGTCAAATGACAAAACGCAGAAACCCAATTTTTTTTTTTCTGTAAATCTCATCGTGAGTTTGTCAGAAAAATAAAAAGAAAATGTGAATTCTGCGGAGAGCGTGAGGGTCTTAATGAATGGATTGTTAACTCACATATGAGCTAATTCATGAGCAGCAGTTGCAATTCCATTAAATCCTTGATCATGGATAAGACCTACAGACTCCACGGCTTTTTTTACTTCATTCCGCACGCATGCTGAACCCACTTGACTAATGCCTATTAATATTTATTTGTTAACAATTTTGGAACATTCTTTCAATTGTCCAAATACTGACCTCTTAAAGACACACAGCTCGAATTTTTATTGTCTTTCAAATGTTCACATACCGTCGATCTGTGGATTATTTTTCAAAAATCATAATTACTACAGACTTGAATAATTATTTCATTTTTGTTTCAATGATTCATTTACCGCGTAACAGCGATAACGATATCGTACGAATTCTTGTCAATCCTCTCTTCAGCGTAGAAATAGTGACCCATAGCTTGTAGAGAATCAATGTTTATCTTAGATTCATTGACACGATAATTATTCAAATACGGTGTAGCATTCCTATCCTAAAAGAATAATTTTCCAATTGTATTACTCCGGATTCTGCATTTTGTTATTCAAGGATGGACTTGAAATTCCACGTGTCTTCACATTAACATGGAAACACTAGGAGTAGTTTACAATTTCCTGAAGACCAAAAATAGGCCGTACAACATTAATGATCTTGTGACGAATCTTCCGAATGAGAAGAGTAAAGCAGCTATTCAACAGGCACTAGAGAAGCTGAAGAAAGAACAAAAAATCATCGAAAAGGTATCTTACGTTCGTAATATTAAAACATTCATTAGATAATATTACTTACTCAAATGATTATCATTTTTATCGTTACATTAATTATGTATTTGATGTTTCAGATTTATGGAAAGCAAAAGATCTATTGTATAAAGCAAGAAAGCCAGCATGATGCTGCCGAGTTGAGCAGAATGACTGGTGATCTTCAAGCTCACGCAAACGAGTTAGAAATCAGACGGAAACAGATTGAGAATGATATCAAAGTCCTAGAGGTAAAATTGGAAGCGCTGAAGTCCGGCCCGACTCTCGAGGAAGCGATCATCGAGAGGGAGACAATTAAAACAAGAGTGACAGCACATGAAAGAAAATTGGATTACCTCATGGAGCGGTGCGGGAGTCAGCCTAATCTCGTGGAAAAGAAGAAGAAAGCTGAGCAATTGAGGGAGCAGTATTCACGTGAATATTTGAAGAGGAAGAGAATGGGTTCTGAGATTATCGATAGTATTCTGGAAGGATTCCCCGGTACGAAGAAGCAACTATTAGACGACGTGGGGATCGACGAGAGAATCGTCAAATAAAAAATCCCATCATTTATTTCGATGAAAAATATTCTGTTCATCGATTATTTTATACTTTTCAAATTGTTTTTCATATTTAATCGATCTATTTATTGTAGTCCAAGTTATAAAAATGGAAGACGGAGAAATTTATTCTTATCATAATGGAAGAAAAAGAAGTCTTACCAATCCAATTATTATCGTTGCGATATTAAGATGAACTTTCGGATCTCTCAACGATTTGTATCGTAAGTCTACACCATTCCAAAAGGCTGTTAAATAGACGAGTAACTCAAGAACATCGGATTGGAAGGATCTGAATAATATAACAAACATTTTAACATCTCTCCAGCGGGTGAATATTTGAAAAAATCGTTTCATAGTATACTTTACACACTTGAAAGTATCATAATCGATGACAGTTAGAATTTCAGGATACACAACGTTCGAATGCATTTTTAATTTGTCGTATTTACGTAATGATTTTTGTTCGTCGCCAGTTGGAAATGAGTTATTCGATGAGTGTTTATCCAAGTTTATCAAAACCTTCTTCACATCCTTCATCTTTATAATTACATGATGGTCTATTTGCGGATAGTTTTCGTTGTATTTCTGATGCTGCGATTTATTGTTGTTAATAATTTCGTTTATCACTCTCTCCGGAAGAGAGCGAATTGCGAAATTCTGACCGAAAGTGCCATCGAATTTGTATGAATTATTAGTGCCTTTGCGGGCTATTATCGCTGCATTGTTCGATTCGTCTTGGTAGGCGTGATAAATCTAGGAATTGATATAAATAATTGAAAGTTGATGCGAGATATGATGCCAATTATTCCCATGACAATTATCAGGTATTTCCGAGAATATAATTACTCGTTCGATTATCATGTAATTTTGTACGGAAATTTTTTTACCCCATCTGCATCATATTTTGTGTAACGCAGACCTCTAGGAGAGGATTTGTCTGTTTCAACTGTGAAGATTGGCGTATGCTTTCCGAAAAATTTTCCCTCAGCTCGCCACAAGTACAAAGTGACATCACTTCCGAAGAATTTGAAATGAACTTTTGGATTCAAAATATTTTGCGTAGCGAGAGAGTGCAGTACAGGCACAACTTGATATTCCGGCGCTGAATAAATTAAAGGAATAAATAAAAATATACACATCAGAAATTGTTGACAATTTATAAGTACCAGTGTCGCATTTTGTCTGGAAGATTGACTCAACTTCTTTATCCGTTAGCAATTCGCATATCTAAAAATTATTTTACTGGCGAATTATCGATGGTATTGATGTGAAAAAATATAACATTTACATTTCGTTATTAAATAATAAAAAACGGGGAAAATTTTTTTCAGGTCTACCCCACCGTAAGTTTTTCCGAATAATGAAAAAAAAAATAATAATAATAAATGATTATCAAAATTAAATCCTCACTTGAGCACTCCACTGCGGAAATGTAAGTAAAAATAAGCACAAACGTTCACTTCCAGTAATCATTTCGAAATGACACACCCAGACAAGAAATACTAATTTAATTATTTTTTATGACCTGTCTTTTGCAATATATTCGATGACGTACTCAGTGTTGATGCAAACACTTGATTCTACACCATATGACATTCAAGGAATATTCAATGTAAATATTTTTATTTTTTGTACTCATCACATGAATTTTATTTTTCAATTTGAACAGCTGTACATCATCCCGAAAAATGAAAAAAAAAACACATGAATCTACCACACATGAATCTACGAATAAATTGCATAAATAAATTGATTTCTTCCTGTACTCATCCATCTCGTTATTTTTTATTATTTAATTTGGGAGGTGTCCAGTCAATAGAATTGAATTTTTGAAAATTTTTCGTTCGAAATTGGCTTTCAAAATTCGGTGGTGGTGCCAATTCAGTTGCATGTATCGATATACAATGGCCATTTAAACAATGCTAAAAAATATTAATGTTTATAAATTTTGCCTTCTATCAATAAATATAGGACATTATTTTATTTTACCATATTTTTTCCACACATGGAGCCTTCAGCAGCTGCAGCATTAGCTTTGCAGAATCCACCATTCGGATTATAACACTCCAGTTTCGTGCAAACACTTTCATCAAACTGAAACATCAAGTCCTGTGATCTGCTGTCCCAATCATAAATAATTAAAGAAAAAATACCTTGCATGCTTTCGTTCCATAAACCTTGTAGCATTGTTGGTTCAATGAGAGTATTTTCCCTGGTAATTTCCTCGGCAATTTATTATCTCGACGAGGAGAATTATACAAACATGTACCATTTGGAGAACTGTAATATACACTCCACAGTATAAATAAAATTACTTTTAGGAAACTTGCCTTATCACTCACTTTATGAATTCCCGGAATAGCCTCACGGTGCAGTTAGACCAGTAGAAATTATTTTCTCCAAGATTCAGAGCATAATTCATGATGAATCCGTGGTAGCTTGGACAGTCTATCGCAGCACCTACTCCATCGTGGGGAACGCCCAATCTGTGTCGAACAATTCAATATATCATGTGTCCTCAAGTGACTTCAAATAAATTTTTAATAATTTTTATTATCAAAAGTTATCAATTTAATATAAATGAGAATTTTTCAAGGCGAAGGAAATATTGTCTTACAAGTGTGCCACTTCGTGGGCTGCAGGAGTTATCCCGGAATATCCTCCATTGTCCTCAACAAGACCAACAGCTTCTGTATTTCTATCTATTGCACTTCTATTGCAGGCTCCAGCTTCATATGCATATCCTGTAAATAAAAAAATTCCATTATATATCATCTAGCTCCAGAAACTCAATCCACTCAGCGCATTGACATCTCAATTCACCTAATGTCGATGTATCGCAGAAACTGGTTCCGATCATGTTGCATATGTCCAATCTAAAACACAATTATATTAGTAGGTAGTACTCTAACAATCGCTAATGGAAAATTAAATTGACAGTTAACTGAGTCATTGCTACTGCAAAATCGTATTTGGAGAATGGAAACCGCTTCTCTTGGTAGAAGTATTTGCTCATCTGTTTGATAGCGAGATCACCATCCACCAGATTTTTTTCCCTTTTGTTATCTTCGAAGAATGGAGTTCCACCCGCTTTCTGAAATTATTCGTGAAATGTCACTAGGTTTATTTTTCGCCAATTGGTTTTGTCTTACTGTTGAAATAATGAAGGCAGCGATGTTCAATCGAATTCTTGGTTCACTCATCGTTCTGTACCGGAGATCAACGGCATTCCAGAAACTCAACAAATAGAGAGTTGCTCTTTTAAAATTTGTGTTCTGAGATCTAAAAAAAATGGAGGCTCACAATTACAGCATTCGAAAATCACTCCAATTCTTTCCAATTAATCTCCACGAACTGAATTATTTTTTTACTTGAATATAGAATAATCCATGATGACCAAAATCTCTGGGTAGATGACATCGGGATTCATTCGTACTGATCGGCTAGTCCGTGAATTTCTCTCGAAATTTCTCTGACGTTTTACCATTTCTAATGACGACAATTAATTAATAATCCACAGCCGAGAAAGTTTCAAAGTTCAAATATAATCTTACTCAGTCCCTGGTGAACTCGATCGTGGGACATACGAGGTCTTTTAAACACGATGTGGTGATGAGTCTGTCTGAATCCATCATCAATTTCGTCAATGCTCCTCCGATCACGAAGAAGATCTCTGAATCGTTCCGGCACTGGTTCTATACACAATTCATCCAGCATGTCTCCCACCATCTCCACCGAACCGTCAATCAAATCAGTCAGGATCATTGCTGTATCGGTGAGGACATCTTGATAAGCTACACCTATTCCTTCGTAGGGCTTCGAAAAAAATTGAGAAATAAAAATGATAAACTGCGATTTTGGGAATGAAAATTACTGTCGCATTCGGTAATTACATCTTCAATTCTCGAGTACTTCAAGCCGTGAAGTTGATTCTTGTCTGGAACTACAGAGAAAACTGGAGTGTTGACTCCATACAGAATACCTTCCGTTGGTTTTAAATAAACTTTTATCGTCCTATTGAATGTTGTTAATTTCACCACTCGTTCCTCGTGCGCGCCATTTTTACGCGATGTATGTAGCACCGGAACGACTTCGTGAGTAGGCACTACAATTTTTACAGTCAACATCATATCAATTATTATTTTATAAATATACATTCACTGCCATTTGTTGGCATAATTTGTTAATGTTTTCACCTGAATCCCGGGAAGTTCGGAATACCGTCTGAATTTCTTCATCCGTCATTTGGTGATGGATCTAAAGTTTGAGGTCTGATCATTATCACTATTGTTTTTATTATGGCACAGATTCCCGGGTAAAAAAAAAATTGTAATCGTAATATTTTTTCCAAATTTTCCAAAAATTTCTGGAAAACTTTTCAGAATTTTTTTTTTATGAAACAAAAAAAAATCGGACAACAAACGAATTTTATTCTTGGGAAAGGTTTTGAAAAATTTTTCAAATCATATCCCAAAAATACAATTGTTTTGTTACTTGATTTTTTTTTGTTTCGAAAAAAAAATTTGTGAAAAGTTTTCCAGAAATTTTTTGAAAATTTGGAAAAAATATTCCAATTTCAATTTTTTTTACCCGGGTTAAGACGTCAATTTGTTTAGGAAAAACTAATTATATGAATTTCAATTTAATTACCTCAGCAGATAGACTGCACCCAATTACCCACAACAATATCATCCGTGTGATCATTTTTTTCGATTGATCTAGACGTGGGGAAATAAAAGACCCGTAATTATTTGTAGGTAATTCCTACGAGAAATGATCGATACTATTGGATTATTATTCACCAATTCTGATAGCTGAACTTTATCTATTCGACTGAATTTCCAAAATGTGTCTGACGATTGGCCCATCAATTTGTAGCGCTCCGCGAGATTTACTTTTTCTTATAAATCCGTAGATAAGCACTTGAGCACACATGATATATTTTAAGACGATTTAAAGAGCTCACGTTGCACAATTAATAAAAAATACGGCGTCTTTGATCATTGGGGATATAAAATTGTAAAATTCATAATCATGCGTGATTTAAGCCATTGCCTTTGCAATTATTGAGGATTAACCGAAGAATAAGACACCGGTAATCCCCTCTGTAATAATTACATTTAGGTCAAGATTTTTGCATAAGAAAGTTTAGGATATTGGATTAAGAATTGTGAGATGGTGGAAAGATACCAACAATGGTAATCCAATTTTCACGTGAAGACATATTTTATTTCATTTAGAAATCTAATACCAAAAAAGAACGTTAACATGTGTTTCTGGTGGAAAGATAAACAATGTGATGACGAAAGTTTCCTACGTGTCACACGTGCGCATAGATAACGTCAATAAAATTTTTTTCTTTTCGTGAGGTTTCACTGCCACCTGAAATAATGGGATTCGTGGCTTCTGTTCGAGGTACGTTTAACATCATCATTACATTACGAAATTGTGATATTTCGGTTTTTATGAATTATCCAGAAAAATTAATTCACTCATCTTATGGAGGATTCGTTGAGGAAAATCATTTTTCAAAGAAAACACAAATGCATATTTCGTCATTATGATTTATTCTTACATTACCAAAAATGTTTCCTCATTTTTCATCTTTTCTACATAAGGACGAGTCTCATCGATATTTCTTTTGCATCAATTATCAAAAGACTAACGAAAGAGCCAACAAACAAACAAACAAACAAATTGTTGTACGTATTTCTACAAGGCGACTTGTATAAAGACCGCTCCCACTCCACCTCTCAAATCCCCGAATAAATATATTCAGCAAATTAATAATTGTAGGAAATTAAAGAGTTAAAACAATTAATCGAATTGAAGATTGTCCGAATCACGAGTACAACGTTGAGAAATTTCTTCCATTTTTTCTTACTTTTTTTTATATTTTCACTGAAATACGTCAGGCATTCTTCACGTCAATATATTCAAGGTAATCCACGATTATTCTAAGTTATAAACAAGGAGAATATCAATTCTTAGATCTCAATAATCGCTTCTACGTAATAATGATGTAGTATCCTATGATAATGTAATTGAATTATCCTTTTGACGTATTATCCTCAATTTCTCATTCGAGTATCAACTTTTTAGATCAAAATGCTAAAAAATTATGAACAATTTTCCCAATCAACAAACATAATAATAAAAATAGGCAAAACATTGTGAGCTGATGAGATTGAAAATTTCATTATTCGTTTGAAATACATGTATGAACACTGTTTCCCGTGGTAATTTGTTCAAATAATTAAAAACGCAATTTCTGGAATATTTCCTTTCAATTCCCTGGGATAAGAATGAAAATAGTGAAATAGAACAGAAATTTTTGTTTTGTGCTTTATTTTTTCATTATTTTTATCGAATTGGCGATAATTTCAGCCGCAGATATTCTTCAGGGAAGCGCAGCAGCGCCTTTTCACAGATTGTAGATGGCACAGCCACATTCTCAGCCTGTCAATCTGCTCTGCACAGTCTGACGCCACATCAATGCACTCATCGTCCTCTGTTCCTGAAAAATTTATCGATAAATATTTCATGGGGATCGATTATTCGCCAGAAACCGAGAAGAGTAGAGATGACAAATAAATTTGAGGATTATTGAACGATGTCCTGTCCCCTTTTAGCCAAGATTACCAATTTTTTTCATTTTCTGCCAACTTTTTAATCAGTCAATTATTAATGACGATAAAAAAATGTCTTTTCACATTTTATCATTATTTCATGTTTCCTCAAAAAGTCATGATCGCGGAATAATGGAAATATGGTATATTCTTTCGGGTAAATTTTTTTGAAAATCGGTAATTTTGCAAAATGGTGGAGCACATCCTTTTTGATCAAGTACCAGAATCGCTTGATATATGAACGATTTGAGAAATGAGAGAGATAATACAGTCTCAATCATTGCAATCGCTTGTTGATTGCCTGGGGTCGTTTGTGGACCTTTCAAAGACATTGTTACAACTATGAAGCGTATAGACTTCTCCGCTGCAAAAAAGATGATGAAGTCGTTGTTATATTGAGAAGAACAATGAAGGAGTAAAGTGAGGAGATATGATAACTCGATTGCATTTGAAAATCACTTTTCCTGAGAAACACGTTGTAAATTTAAGTGGAACCCATCAAGATATTAATCAGAAAAAAAAATCTCAAGCTGCATTGAGTCGACTTATCTCGTTTGAATTCACAATTGTTTTGTTATGAGTAAATATACAGGAGGAGAGTATATTTGTGAAATCTGTCCAGGTGTAGAATAGTCTCAGATTATAACCAGAAGATCCCAGAAAAATCCGTTGCATTTTGGATAGAGCAGGCCAGAGAGGGTGAGATAATTTCGAAATATATATTTTCGTTCTCAGAGAATTTCGTTGGAATTTATGGAATTTCTCAGTGATAATTGTTGCCTTACCACGGCTTGTTGTCGCTTGCGACACCGAGCTCACAAGACTGTGCGGTGTATTTCTACTATATGTACTGTAATATGTACTGGGTGTGATTGGACTGGTAGTCGTGGAGTACACGTTGGACAAATTATTTAAATAATTCTCTCTCTTCGTCGTTGTGCTATCGTGTTTGTTGTAGTATTTGTCGTAATTTTTTATTTTATTGTATCCAGTTGGACGCTGTGAAAAGGGTGTCGTTCGCGTACTGAAGCTGAACGGTTTGGGACGTGGGGTTGAGGAAGTGGGTAAACGACTGTACGTCGTATCACCGGGGGATACTGATGTGTAATCATTACGGCTGTACTGTGTCGTTGATTGGGGTGTACTTTGGGTTGTTGAGCCCCATAGATACCTGTGTAGCATATTATTCTTCATTTTTAACATATAATTCATTCACCATGCCATTTTTCGTTTTATCCATTCTTCACAGCCACTTATAAAATTCATTTCCAATAACAACTCTCCAAAAATAATAGAAAACTACACTTATATATATTTTATATATATTATAGAAATATATTGAATTAACCTGCATTATTCATATTTTTTATAAATTCTTCTATATCGAAAAACTTGAATTGTGGGATGAACTGATAACCGAATTATCAATTTTTTGTTTTTCTTTTAAATGCACGTACAATACTAGGCAATAGTACAATATGATAATCCGTCAAGAATAAATTTTATGATGTATTCATAAATTTGTTTATATATTTATAAAATATACCTGTAATCTGTGTTATTATACTGCGCATACGTTGGCCGACTTTGAGACGCACTATTGTAAATGCTGTCGCGCCTGACGTACGTGGGAATATTTTGTGTATAATCCGGAATAATGTTTTCATGCTCAGCTACACATTTTCCGTTCAAACAATACTGAAAATATAAATAATTGACTGATTGGCATCAGATAATAATGAGTGATCAATGGTTTTCATTGTAATCACGATTGATGATTACCTGTCCATCACCACAGGGAGAGCCCTCTGCCGCGGGTCGGTAGGCGACGCAATAACCAGAGCCCGCATCGAAGCAGAATAATTGTGCGCATACCCTGTCATCTTTCTGTTAATAACAAATGGATAAATATTGATTGTCGAATGGAAAATAGACAGTAGGTGATAATTGCCGGAGGATTACTTACGAAACATGCACTCGTGCCACGATCCTTACGACACTGGGCATCCAATGATAATAATTTTCCAGGTAAGACCCTGGGCAGCGCCTCATCCTCGTGGGGCGCGTTGTATAAACAGGTAGCTGTGTCTCCACTGTTATTGAATTATTAATCTAATTGTTAATTATATTCATTTCTGAGGAATGAAGTTTGAACCATTTGAATACCAATTCGAATAATAAATTAATTTATAGAGTACATCGTGATATTCTGTTGAATAATTAAATTACTTGAGAAAATGATGAAAAGAGGAGACACTGCAGTAGGACCATTTGAAGCCCTTCTCCGTGTGCCTCAGGTCACTCATGATGTAACCATCTTCCCATCGGCATTTCTCAGCACCTGGACCACCCAGATAACTCGGTGGTGGTGATCCATCGTGCACTGCACCCAATCTGCATTAAAAATACTCATCAATTGTAATTCACGATAATTATCGACAGCTTGTCGTGCATCAGCAACTTACAAATGACCAACTTCGTGAGCAGCGACGATGATACCGCTGAATCCACCCGTGTCCTCGATTATTGCGACTGAGTTGACCTTCTCTAATCGCTTATTAACGACACAGGCACCACCCACGTATGCGAAACCTGCGTGGGGAAAAGCAATTAACAAATTTCTGGGTTCATAGTTACTCTCTCAAGGTTTTGCACATTACCATGTATTTTTAATTTACTCGAGTTATTCAATGGGACACTAACTACTCAAAGTATTGCACATTAATTGTCATTCTACGAAGGTTTTGATTAGAAATTTGTAGAAATTATATGTTAGTAATAGTAACCGTCAGTTTTACCATTTATTTGAATGAGAAATACCGGAAGCCGTACTAGTGGCCATTACAAGCAATCATGCATTATCTCATTGCTGGTGAAAAATCTTGTGACCCAGCGAATACACAAAATTCAGTGGAAACCACGTCAGATAAAAACTTACCACATCGCGACAACTTTTGAAAATAGTAACAAAAATTAAGGAATTTTGGGAACATAATAAATAAGAGATGAAACAACGAATCAGAGTAGTCAGAGTGAAGACAAAAGTTCGTAGAAGGTGCAGTGGTGGACGTGGAGATTCATAATGATCAATGGAACAAATAGATTCCATGAATGATCTTGCGGATAGGTCTTAAGCCAGTGCCCGGAGAGTGCTTGAATTTCAGAAGAGAGAATGATAAAAATCGGGTGAAATATCAGTGATATATTTTACAGTGGTAATAACAGCTTTTGCAATGTAAAACGGCCAATTTTTTGGTGAATAAAAAAAGGTAGAATAAACAATCAGTGCAGAGTGCGTAGGAGCAGAACGATGAAGAAGGTTCGAAAAATATCAAAAGAATTAGAGAATTCCCACGAAAAAAATATACTTGCGAATGTATGTGATAAATACAGACTGACGTCAGCGCTTATTTTACTCATTTTAGAGGTGTGAAAATAATAATAAGATCAGAAAGGAATTATTTTAATGCCTGCAGAATTGATGAGGAGTAGAAGAGGATCAAAAATTTTTATAATACAAGCTGTAAGAATTTTCTGACCACAAATTATTTGAATAATTAAAAAATCATAAAAATGAAATAAATTCCTTTAAATCGAATTTATTTTGGAATGTCGATTATCTTTTAAAATAATATATCGCAACCGCAAAAGGTTGTGGCAATGTTGAATGTAATAATTGAAATAAAATCTCCATTAGAAAAAAGCTACTGTTCGATTAAAATAATTTATCTACGGTGAAAAATTAAAATTCTTCATTTTAAATATTTCCTACTCATCAAATTCGTAATATAGATGCCAACGTCCATCTGCCAATAAAATATCTAACAACAACACATACACAGCACATAATAAATATGCAGCATAGATGTGCGATATTATGAATAATATTTACACACACAATTCCCGCATATATCACTGTCGGTGCGGGAAGTATTGAGCAAATGCGAGATGCTCATTCATGCGATTTCTCTCTCGAGAAAACGTACCTGCGGTTCCTCTATTGCACACGTCATTCGCGTATTGCCTCCTGCACATATCTAATCTGCAACGCAACAATAAAATTTTTCTTTATCATAAACAATTTATTGAAGTGATGGAGAGCCACGTCACGAGACAAATCAACCATCATACAGAACAAAACAACGAAAAAACAGAATTAGTAGAGAACAAATTAAGAAAACGTTCCAGGAGATGAGAGAAGCTGTACAAACAATCCTGCTGACTTAAATAACCGAGTAATTGGGGAAATTGAGTGATCGATTGAATGCAATTATTCACTCATCGTGACTGAATTGATGATGATGTCGGTTGGTAATTCGTCCAGAGTCGAGGAACATCGATGTCTCGTGGTTCGTCCTTGCAGGCCACTAGAGTGCACATATTTTTCTCGTTACCATTCTAATCCATTACCCAAATAATTAACTCAAGCTGTCTCAATAATAAATACTACGGGATAATGTCAACACATGCACAACAAAAATTAATACTCAATCCTGGAATGCGAATTTGTTCACAAAATTATCGCAACCTGTTAAAACCATCGATTTTCATTATATTTTTTATATTGCGATTACTCTAGAGGGAGAATTATTCGATTAAGAATTTTCTTCTCTCTGTGTAATTACAAATCTATTATTAATTCTGGTAATAAATTACTACAACTACTTGCATGGACATGCAACTAATGATGTATAGCATGTGATATTTGCAAATGACACATGGCGATGCTCGATGTGATGAAATGATGATAAAAAGCATGAACATGTAGCAATCATTGGTCTCTGTGTAATAAACCATACCGGCAGTTCCCTTAGTGCATCGGCCGCCCTTCCTACGACGGCACATATCATACCTGTTGTTGATAAAAAAAAAAAGTGGGAAGGAAATATAACAATAGAGTGAGTGCCATTGTAATTGCTTATGAAAAATATAATCCAACTGTTCTACATTCTTCATGGGCATTCCAGAAAAAATCGGAGCCCATGAGCTTTGAGAATTACCTTATCAATTTTTGGGGGGCGAAATCCTTTAAAAATTCCGAGAACGTTGAAATTTCATAATTAGTCAATTTTTTTTTTCATTTTTCTGCCAAGAAATTGGCGTATTTCTCCGAATTACGATAAAATTGCAATGATTAAAAAATTTTTAGATATTTGGTTGCCCCAAATTTTTTTGGAATCATCAGCTATTTTTTTTAGTCAAATAATTACAGCCAAAAAGGGGATGAAAATAATTGAATATTTTTGCATTTTTCCTTTTCGATAATCCTGATATAATTAAAATTGTGAAATTAAAGATGAATTTTCGGTTATTGATAAAAATATTTATAACAAGAAAGTACTGAATATTTAGCAGAGAATGAATTCCATTAAAAAATGAATTTCCGCAGGAGAGAAACACCGACGAAAGTATTCATATCTTTAAATCCAATTTTCAACGAAATAGCCTTAGAATTACAGTTACCCTTACTTCGTCACGGCAACGGCAATGTCGTAAACCGGAAGTCTCCTCTCCCGGAAAAGATATTTGCCCATGTCGGTCAAAGCAGCTGCCGAGTCAATCGCATCGCGTCCCACGCGATTTCTTTCCAAGTAAGGTGTTGCATCTCTTCCCTATTTTCCAATTGAGAAGCGGAATGAACAAATGTCAAGCATCACTTCCATTCCAGTTGTTTGCCATTTGAGATATCAAAAAAATAGGAAGAAAGTGAAAAAGGTGATTGTTACCCGCGATATAATAATCCCAGCGATGCTGATGCGAATCTTAGGGCCCTTCAGGAGTTTGTACCTCATGTCGACACCATTCCAGAATGACACGAAATATCTTTTTATCTGAACGTTGTCTCCACCGTGCAATCTAAAACATCAACTCGTTATTCTAATTTATTCTTCATAATTGTAGAATTTTTTACATACACTCTGTTCGTCGCGAGCGTCGAGGCCCGTCCTTTGAGCAAGGAAACAAAAATTTTATCATGTATCAGATTTGACAGGATGGAAAGACGTCTTCTTTGAATTATTTCGAAAAAATGAAGAGAACTTCTATCCATTTTCTCCATCAGAGAGAATGAAATCGAAGTGGAGTCGTATCAATTGGTTTTGCTAGTCGATAGCCATTTGTTGGGTAGAAAATTGATTGAGATAATTCAGGAAGACCTCTTTCACAGCTGATTATCAGTGGTTACGCGGGAATTCTTCAGTGGATTTTTTTTTTTTTTCAATCCGTTACCTGTAGCCGTCGTAGTCAACGATGCAGAGGATTTCCGGATAAATTACGTAAGGTGCATCGCGCTTTGACCTCCCAGGTGTAATCGATCTCTTCGACCTGAACCGCTTGGCCAGGTGATCCGGTTCCATGAACGCTGAAGGGAAGTCATTATTACGATAGTTCACTGAGAAATTGGGATTTAATGGGGAAAATTATTCATTATTTCATGGAGTCATAATAGAATTCAATAAAGTGGTTTGTCAACACTGGAAACAATGTCATTAAATTCAATTTAATTCAGGCGCGTAAAATCTTGCGATTGGTAATTATTCCCCTGATAATTGTATTAGGCCAGCCTGAGATTACGAGAATGCCCCAATTTATTTGAATTTTTAATGAACAACTGAATATTCAGGGAGCAATGAGTCTCAATTGAATTAATTTCCAATTCAACTGAGAACTTCCGGGATTTTTATCCATTTTTACGAGTGAAATAATTGCACAGAACTTTATCGTTTTCGATTTGTAAATTAAATAATCGAATGCCTTGGAAATTTAACCCGAAAATTTTCGAATATCTTGTCTCAGTGGGAAAAAATTCGTTCCACGAAAATATTAATTCACGTGAATCTCCGGAAATCCCCGGTTTTTTGCATTGAGTATATTTTTCTTTTTTTACGAATGAACGAGTTTTGATTTTGTGACGCCTTTAATCCCAGATTTAATGCGTATTCGATTTTAGCGGCAAAATTTTATGACCAGTGTGGCAAAGCGATTGCCGTATTGATAAGTGGTTTCACAAGAAAATATAAATAAGAATTTCCGATGGCAAATTCCTCCAACTGAAAAACAGGTTTTCACTTCATCCGAAAATCACTGATTATGGAGATCATTGCATAATTAGTGCTGATTTTGCGGTCAATTTGAATCATATCACCGGATCGTTTCCGAGAAGGTAATTAATGCCATAAAAATTCAATGGGACTACCATTTAAAAAATAGAATTCAGATGCACAAAATTATTTTCAAGACAGCGAGCTCTGTATTAAAATTACCATCACGCAAATAATTTGATTATAAAAAATTGTGGAGCAATTGTAGAAAAAATAATGATAATAACTCACCGAAATCACTGTACTCATCAGCGATGGGTCTTTCAACCCTCCTAAAAACCACATGATGATGTGTTTGACTGAAATCTCTCTTGCTCCTCATCAGATTTGGCAGCTGATTCTCTTGATTAAGATCTGCAATACTGGGAACTATCTCGTTTCGTATGCGTTCGGGAAGCGATCGAATCACCAGCTCCGAACCAATATTCCCCTCCTGACAACAATCAACCAAAAAGAGTGAAAATTACGTACGGCCCTCTGTTAATGCCATCGGATACGCAGGTATGTAACCCAAGAAAGAGTGAAAGCGAAAGGTCAGAACACGCGGGGTCATTAGTGAATAACACTGGTACATTGTGGAATTATATAATGGGTCGCGGTATAATTAGCATGTGCTATTGAGTCACCGAATCAACTCTGTGCTTCATAATATTGATGTACCTTCTGCCACCGATTTATCGGGATTTATGAGATGCTTTAGGATCATGTACCATCGTAATTAAAGCTTTTGTAATTATGACAGAAGGAAATGTCAGGTCTAAATGTCAGAATCTTCTCAATTCGGCAACGGTTTTCCAGTCATTCGAGTCTCTTGCAACGGTCCAATTGGAAATTGAGGATTACTAGGGTATACTAGCTCTCAAAAGGTTCATCAGCTAAT